AATGGCCAGAGTTGGCCCAGTGAGTGGCTGCCTAGCCCAGTGTAAGAATTTCCTTACTATTCCAATGGCACCTCAGCTACCTTTCAAAGTATCAAGCTCCCCGTGCCTTTAACGGGAATCAGAAGCTGAGGCCAAAGGACCCTCTTCAGCGATGACTCTGTTACACAGGCGGCCTTTGGCACAGTTGTCCCTCGAATTCATGAGTGGCTGAGCTGGTGTCATGAAAGCTCTTGTCTCTTCTGATCATGAGCAGTTGATGAAGTCCTGATTTCTCCACTGCCTTGTTCTCTGAGAACTTTGTTCATTTTTACAACAGTCTTTGGACAAGACGATAGTAACAATTGTGTGGGAAGAAAAAGTCACTTGGAGCCCCAGACAAATGGAAAGGAAAATATGATTTTGGAATTAAAAGTGAACAAGGCTGGCTCTGAGATTTATAATATAGTAGAGGATTTAGAAAGTTGTTCGACGCTGAGAACCCTGAAACCAGATTGTGCAGGCTTCTGCTTCCTACCATTTGAGATTTTGATTTTTCTCTTTTAATTCCTTAAAAAGTCATCCTATTATGCCATGAATACAGGAAGTACAGACAGTTTCAGTATAATTTCCAATTCAAGACAAACATACACACTGCTCTGTGAATCTGCTTGCTTAATAATTTAGCAAACACAAAATAACTCCCATAAGGATTTGAGAAGGCAGCCTTTAAATCTGAACATTAAGGGGAAACCTCTGAAATGCACTCAAAGGTCGGCTTCAATTAGCAAAGAGAAGAAATACAGATTATAAAAAACCAAAGCACCACAATATGGATGCTCCTTTTCATAATTATAAAAACCACTTTTTAAAATCATCCCCAACCAAGTAGGTTCTTATGAAATTCCAAATACTAATTTTTAGTTTAGTTTATTCCTTGGGCTTGTACAGTCCTTCTTTCCTCAGATCTCCCATTATCTTCTTCTTTTTTCTCATCCTTCTATTTCTCCAGTGTTCGTCTCCTGCCCTTCCTCAGGCTTTTTGAACTGTGGGGGAAATTCCCAGCCCAGAAGTGTATTTTTGTCCCTTTTGTGCTCCAGTGCACCATGGACTGAGTACAGCAAACCCAGCCCCAGTGAATGCAAGGAATGTAAATAATCCTGTTTTGGAAACCATGAACTGCTCAACAGAACACAAGGACAATTTATTTGTGTTCTTTTTGCTCTTCTTTTGAAATACATCATACCACAAAGTGAAAATAAATGTATGTAGGTGGTCCACAGAGAAATAACAGTAATAACACCCATCCACCACTGAGATTAGAACACTGCCCAAGCCTGTGAAGCCCTGCAGTACCTGTCCTGACAGCATCCCCTCCTACCGCCAAAGACAAAAAAAAAAACCATCAGAAGGTGTTGCCAATGATTCCCTTGCTTTGCTTTGTCATTGTATCACTTACATCTGCACCATAAACAATATATTTAATTCTGTTTATAAACTTTATATAAGAAAATTGTTTGGAATATAAAAGTTGCTTTCTGTCCTGTTTTAAACAGATTAACCCATTTTCATGTGCATAGGCCTAATTTACTTACTTTAAAATTGCTATGCAGTATTCTGCATTAAAATAGGCCACCACATTTATTATTCAAGTCACCACTGATAAGTAGGTGTGTAGTTTCCAGGCTTTTGGTGTTATGAACTCTTTTGTTTACACCCTGAGATAAACAACTGTGGGAATTTCTCTAGGATGTCTAGCTGAGATTAGAAATTCTAGAATGTAGAATCTGACCATGTTCAGCTGTTCTGGGTAATACCAAAGTGTGTCCATTAACACACCCACCGGCAGTGTGTAAGAGCACAGACAGTCCATGTTCTGGCTGAAACTTCGATTTACCTAACTTTACAAATTTGGCCAATGGCTGGGCATGAAGTGTTACTGCCTTGTGGTCTCATTTTGTGTTGTCCTGATTATTACTGTATATTCATTATTCATCTACATTTACCATGAAAAGATGAGTGATCATTTGGTATTTGTGTTTATTCTTCTACTAATTTTTCTATTGCATTGTTTCTTTCTTTCTGACCATTGGAAATGTCTGTTTTGATTTATATTTTTGTCAGTTATTCATTCAAAATTTCTTTTAAAAGTTTATATCTTATATTTTTGTCTTCATTATGGCATATTTTTAGGTGTAAAAGTTCTTTGCTTTTAATGATAACTCATTGATATTTTCATTTTCTGCCTTACCCTAAAGTTATTAAAATGCACTCCAACAAATTCTTCTCACAAGCTTACGGTTTTACCTCCTAAATCTAAATTTAAATTTATGTTTATATACTGTGTGAAGAACCTATTTCCTTCTTTTCTGAATGGATAACCAATCTTCTTAGCTGTATTTACTAATAATGTACTTCTATCCCACAGAATTATATTCTCTAATCACCTTTCAAGATATTCTCTAGTTTTTTTTTATCTTATTCATCTACTTGTCCATCCTGCAATAATACCACACTTTGTAGTTGCTATTGCTTTATAATAATTGCTGAAACCTGATAAATCAAGTCCTCCTACTTAATTCTTCACAAGTAACTTTCAATTGTTCATATTCACTTGTATTTGCCCACATTTTGGCTCTTTCAGTTGTTTTTCATTTTTTATTGTAATGATTCTGTTTAGGATTATTTTACTTCTATCTGAAAAGAAACCTCCAATATTTGTATTGGTGCAGATGTTCCACTGTTTTTTAGGTTTTTATTCTCCAGGGTCTTTTTTACCTTCACTTTTGCATTTCTGTTAAATGTAGAACTCTAATTCTTACAGTATCTTAAACAGATTATTTCTAGTTTTCTCTAGATTTTATCATTTCCATCAATCAGTCATCTGTTTTTTTTTTTTTTTTTTTTTTTTTAGTCATCTGTTACTGTTGTACATTTTAAAGTAATGTTTCTTATTTCTGACTATTATTTTATCTGTATTATTTTGTTTGTTTTATAGCATTTCTTAAACCCAGTTTATTATTTTCCATTGTAGAGTATTTTTACAATTTATCTCTTTAATTACTGTTTTACCCCATTATTTTGTTTCTTTTTAGAATTAAAAAATGTTTTAAGCAACTGAAAATATGTATGTCATATATTGCTTTTTCTGTATTTTACATCCTTTTTCTTATGCCTCAATATAGATGTCTTCTAATGATCTATTTTCTAGTTTAATAATTCTTTCTTCAGCTGTGTTTAGTCTGATGTTACCAATTTGCTAAAATCCTAGTTTTAGTTATTGTATTTTGTAGTCTATTATTATAATATTTGCATTCTATTATTTTTAAATATTTTTTTTAAATTTCTAGTACTAGTGATTAAACCCAAGGCCTTTGCACTTAGCTATAACCCCAGCCCTTTTTATTTTTGAGATAGAATCTCAGTGAGTCACTAAGTTGCTTAGGCTAAGCTCAAGCTTAGGAAGTTCTTGCCTCACTCCCAGAGTGCTAAATGAAGTTTTTCCTTACTCTTCAATATGTCAACCTAAGTTATTTTAAAGCCCATGTCTGATAAATTTGGTAACAGATCTCCTCCTACAAGTCCACTTCTCTGAACAGTTTTCAATTTTTTTCCCCTTATTCTTTTGGCTAATTTGTTTTATACCCCTACCTTACCTGGTAATTTTTAACTGAATGCCGGATGTTGTATATACAAATTTGGAGAAATAATCAGAGATTCTGAATGACATTGTGTTCCTCCAGAAAGGATTCACGTTTGCTGTTAGCAAAGTTAAAGTGGAGGCAGATCAACTTAATCTTATTTTGGAATGTGTTAATTTGAATCTCATTGTGAGGACAACACTGTTTCTGCAAACCTTGCTTAGGTCTTGCTTTGCTCTTCAAAGATCTTATGTGAAACCTCGGATTAGCTGTTAGGGCTACTCATGTTTTGTAGGAAATAAATTCTAAATGTCTCCTGTCCATGGACGACTGTCAAAAGCTTTGCACAACTTCTCTTTCCTGTTAGTGCAATTCTCTGCACATCTTTTCCACCTATTGTTTACAAATTACCAAATGCTTAAGGAAAAAAGTGATACAGGTTCACCTCTGCACTGTCAATTCTTTCTTGCCAAGCTCTTAGCCCTTCAAGTCCTCATGGTCTTCATAGCTATCTGATCTCTTCAAGTGGATTTTGTTTTTATTTTATCCAATTTTCTAATTATTCTCAGCAGGTTTTCTGATAAATGTAGACTTATATAACCAGGGCTTCCCATATGAATTTTAGAAGCAGTTTACCAATTTTTTTAAAAAAGATTTCAAAAAATTTAAGTCTGTATTTCTGGAAAGAATAGACAATATTATAGAATTAAGATTTCCTATTCATGAACATTGTATATCTTCTTTTAGGTCATCTTTAATGTCTATTTTTAATTTTTTTGTGTAATGGGCTTGGACACATGATAGGTTTATTTGTGGCTTTTTCACATTTATGTTACTATTATAATTGATGCATTTTCATTACCTCTTCTAGTCAGTATGACTGAGATATAATGACTTTGTGTTACTTCTTATAATCTATAATTAATTTGCATTTCCTATAGGCAGCCATATCATCTGAAAATGATGACAGTGTAATTCCTTTATTTTTATCTTTAAATACTTTAAATATCTACAGGATGAACTTCTGGAAGAACAGTCACAGCCTACCTGCTTGACATAGTACTAAGCTACCAATGTGTACTGCTTGGTGTTTTCCTGGCTGCTAGTATGTGGCCAGTAACTACAGAAATCCTGTCAAGTTCCCGACAGGTGAGTGCCCTGCTTCAGGCTGCCTAATGTTGAAGAGCTCATTATGAAACAGTGCAGAGAAGAGTTTCTCATTTCAGGAATTAAAATAAGAAAGTAAAAGAAACACAACAAAACATAAAAATATGCTTGTCACAGCTACTCAAATTCACTAGTTTTCATTTCACCCAGCTTTTTTGTTTATTTTCTTAGGATTGCATGTTTTTTAAAGGATTTGTTATGTAGTGCTGCTATTAATTATCATACACTAATCATTTATTTACACAAAAAGAGAATTAGTTGAAATCAAAGCTAATAGGTAGAACCAGAACCATGTGGATTCAAAAGAATTCAGTGTATTAAGATCCTTAAGTGTCCAAGAGAGGGTCAAAGGCTCATTTCATACGGAATAAGTGACATTTAGTCAAGCAGAATTCAATTAGGCATTGTGTATAATAAGACCATGAGAGCTGGAAGAAAAGATACTTCATCTGGAAAAATGAAAATAAAATATCTTAGATGAAAATGCTCTTTGTAAACTTAGATTTTTAAATAGAGGAGAACATTTCTGGGGGAGATTTGAAGGTGCAAGAAAGGAAGACACCTGTTCAGGTGATTTTTTTACTAAAGAACACAGAATGTGCTTTTTCTTTAATCTGGCCAGGAAACTATCAAAGTAGTCTTGGCCAAGGACTTAAAATGTTCTCAATTTCTAAGTTATTAGTCACTGAAAAGCTCAAAGCAAACAGATTTTCTGCTTCAAAGATAATAGTTATGTTTGTTATATATTACCATGGTCTCTTGTCATTTATTTAGTTATCACTAAAAACCTAAAAGAGATGCTGAAGTACCAAAATGTAACCCAAACTCTTAAGGATTGAAAAATATTCACTTTTGGGGGAAAGAGAATTTCACATTTAAGGCAAGAGAAACTAGGGGAAAATACAGCTATTGTTTTTCTGAGGTCAGTTCACTCCTCAGAAAGAAAAGACGTGTCTTGTGATCCTCCGGATATCAATTACAAATTAAATAAAACTACCAAAAAGTCAAAATTAGCTGAAGGAAAGATGTCACACTGAATAATTAGCTAATATCCGCAAACCTCAAGTCATCCTAGGTATAACCAAACCTTTACAAAATTTCTGTAATGTATGTACTTGGAAACCTGTGGTTCAATTCTTTTTAGGGGGGTTTCTAGTATAATCAAAGTCCTAGGAGTTAAGGAGAAATGAAAGATAAGGATAAGCAAGGGGTCTAGTTTATATATAAACTGAAAAATCCCATGCTCCAAATAATCCAAAATTTCTGTATTAGGCAGGTTGTGTTATCCGTAGTAACAATACCTGGGCTGTAAGGAAAATATTTAATTAGAATGTTAAGTGAAATTTCATTTTATAAAGTTATAGTTTCCAAATTTTTTTTTAAAACAGAGTTACAGTAACAAGCTTGGCAAATCATGTTGGTTCAGCTCTAACAACCCCTTGGACTATAAAGGAGTACTTAACCAAGTGTACAATAAAATGTTGATGTTTTAGACTGATTTTATTTAAATAATTAGGTGAAACAGATTGTTATCCATCAGGACAATCAATCAGGCAATTTAATTATAATCTCATGTTTTCCACAAAGGAGAATATACCATGTTCACTGCAAATGCTGAGATGGAAAGGACAATAATGATTAAGAAACACTGAAAGTTTAGGGAAATATTTTTAAAATTAAATGTTTTCATTCAAGGATTTTAAAATATAAAAATAAGTGATTTAATTTTGAAGAAATCAGGCTCTAAGTTATTATACCTTTCATCACTTTGTCACAATTCTTTCTGCAATATTCTGAGCATAGATCACAGCAATGGCAAATCAGATGGCTGCAAGGTGTTTTAACAGTAACTAATATTCCAAACAGCCTTTGAGACTGAGCTAAAAGTTCTCTTGATCAAGATGAAAGAAATGACTTTATCATGAACTACACCAGAGTGATAGCCTACTTTAACCCCAGACTTCTTCTGAGGTTGCATGAAAAACCAAAAATCTATTTGTACCAGCTACTGAAGACAAGCAGTATGTGAAGCACAGTGGTCCCAGTGCTGTCTCTGATGCATGACCTCGTGATTCTCCTGATTATCCTTATTTGAGAATGTGCAGTGGGGGTGCTTGAAAGAAGGAACAAAGCACAACTATGCATCTATCTCCAGGCTGCTGAGGAGGTGATCAACTATAGAGACCATGGAACCAAAATCTGTAGAATTCTTCTAGTTTTGAAAGAAAAGACACTGTCACTTGGTGGCTTGTTCTTGACCTTCCTTTGAATTCCAGCTGTCAGGGAGTCAGCTCCATTTGGTGAGATGGAGCTGGGCCTCTCTTTTGGCATCATGGGTCAAGCTGACTGGAGAGGTTGGGGCTTCTGCATTCCCACAGCGAGGGGCTTTGCCACATAGGAGGGGAGGTGAAAGCTTTGCTCCACGACCTGGGGAACAGGTCCCTTATCGCTGGGCAGTAGGACCCAGTGGCCTTGCTCTGTGCCCATTCCACGTATGTGGTGCTCCTGTCTCCGCAAAGGTGGTTGTCCTGACCCTAGAGAAATAGAATTTTCAGTACTCACGTTATTCACAAAGTCTAGCAAGAAATCCTGATAACAGTGGCTGTAGCACAAGCCTTAAGTAAGAAATGCAAAAGGAACTCATTCCCAAATGATTGTGAACTCAATTTTTAAAAACTGAAATGGTCTTGTTTGGCTGAGATGATTTAAAGAACTCTGCTACCTGATATTGCTTTTTTTTATTTTAAAGATAAAAGAATGAAAACATATTAACAGACATCCATTTACAAAATAGCACAAGAACAGTACAAGCAATACTGAATTACAGACAAAGTGACAGGAAATTAACAGTGGTTGCTGTATCACATATTGATAACTTCAAAGTGGTTACTCAGGAAAACAAATATAGACATGTAAGATTGATCAAATAATTAATCATTAACTGTTCCTTTCAATAAAGTGATATAAGTCAGTAGTGATATTGCTCTTGAGCTTTCTCTGTGCACTTTTGTTGTCCCCACCTGGACCATAAAAGACTTTGGAACAAACTGGCTATAAACACACTGGTTTTCCTTTCTCCCAGCATGGTCCTCTTCCCCAAGCTGGTGCTCTGCACTCGACTTGTGCCAGCTGACATCAGCAAAGGTCAACAAAGATGGCTCTGCAGATTGTCTACTAGTACTGCTTCCATGGTTTTTCAGATACAGAGAAGGGACTGGCTGAGAGCCAAAACTGACCTTAATCTCCTTCACTCTACCTCCTAACCCAGTCTCCAGGGGTACTTTCACTCCAAGCATTTACGAGATAACTGGACATGATCGGGGATATGTCACTCATACTGGGAGACAGATGAGTGCCCCTCAGAAAATGGATCAAAACATAACAATGAACAAAAAAGCAAACACTCTAAGCCAGATATGGTGGTGCACTCCAGTAATCCTAGCCCTTGGGAGGCTGAGAGAGGAGGATCCCAAATTCAAGGGAAGCCTGAGTTAGCATACGGAATTCAAGGCCAGTCTGGGCTACATAGTGAGACTCTGTCTCAGAAAAAAAGTAGACATTCTAATCCATCCCTGAGAGGTAGACTAACAATAATAAGTTGTTAGTTTTTTTAGTGTAATCACATTCCTGTCAAATCACTGTTCTATTGATGGACTTGCAGAGCTATACGTACATACCTCTACTAAAAGTACCTTTATTAAGAAAAGATAATGTGCTTTTAGTTGCCCAAGGAAAAGTAACATATAACTACAAGATATCTTGTGACTTTCTAGCAGTGCAGTCAATAATAACAAAAACCCAAGCAACTTCTGGAAATACTGAATTATTTAATTATTCAGGCAAGAGTTATGGTATATCCTGCATATAAAACTCTTATTATTTGTTATAGCTTTCATATTCAGTTTTTAAATGTATCTGAACACCCAGGCCTTGATCAAATTAGACAATAAAGTTGTACTGAATTCATTACTTGGAGATACATAGCAGCATATGTATAAGAGTGGAATTTAGAATGAGTTTTCCAGAATAAGAAGTCTATGTTCTCTATAAAGAAATCTGAAGAAACATATATGGTAATAAGCATGAAAGGAAAATATCAGAAAATATAAGTAAAGCTGCTATTTTATTGGCTTATTTTATTAGCAGAGAAACTGTTTTTATTGGCTTAAAGATTCTCTATGCTTTTCCAAAGGATTGTGAAAAAAACTTGTTCCAAAATATCCTCTGGGTTGTAAAAAACAACAATGATATTAGAGGCCCAAGCCCAAGAGACTCATCATAATAGAACTCTTGGCAAGTCTTCTATCAAAGGATATTTAACTCTTTCTACCTGAAGCAGAATGAGTTCCCAAACTGGCTGAGAACCTATGTTGATTTCATGCTTCCTTGGTGACCTGGCTGAACTTCATACGCAGCCAGGCATCTGGCTGAGGTCCAGCCTCTTATAAGACTTGCAACTCTGAAATACCCAGGACAAGCCCTAGATCAGCCTATATCCACAGGAACACTTCCCACTAGAACACAGGATACACTTTCTTGGAACCACTGATAGAATGATATCTATATAATTCTCAACCCCTCTGAAAGACCTTAAAACTCTACCTAATCAAAAACAAGGAGTCACTGCATACTTGCTCAAAAAGACCTAGGAGACTACTGTATTACTAGAAGTTTAAGTGAACATGGTGTTAGGATTTAGATTTGAAATGTTCCCCCCAAAGCCTCATTTGTTGAGAAGTGGGCTTCTGGAAGGTGATGAGATTGTGCAGGTTCTATGTTCATTGGTGGGTTAGTCCATCAGTGAGTACAGAGCTAGTAGTTAGGAGGTGGGGACTGGTTGGAGGAGGCGGCTCATCACTAGAGTCATGACATGGAAGAGGGTATTCTTGTCCCTGGGCACCTCCCTTCCTTTAATTCTCTTTGATTTCTGGCTGCCTTGGGGTGAACAGCTTGCTTCCATCAGGCCATTTGTGCCTTGGTGTCAGCCAACCATGAACTGAATCCTCTGAAACCATGGGCCAAAATAAACCGCTCTTCCTCAAGGTTGTGGGTGTCATATATTTTATCCCAGCAACAGGAAAGAAACTTTCTACATGGTATCTTTATATAGTATAGAAATGTAGTTCAAATCTATTTCTCTGAAGCTCCATTGCATTTCAGTACAGCCCAACTGCTCACACGCTTATAAAATTTTCTTGTTTTTGTGGTGAGATGAAAATTTTCACTGGAAAACACTCAAGATCCAGGTAAAAATAATCATTTACCAGGCTCCAGAGAAGAAAACTGGCCAATATTTGCCATTTGGCCATTGCCAGACATAGGATGACTCATATTCCTGAAGTTTTGATCTTCCTTTAAGTCCACAAACTGCAAAAAAGGGAAAAGAGATATTGTTATAATTCACAATCATCTCAATATGCATTAATCGCAATCTATGGCTTACTATGTTCATCCCATGGAAAATGAAAGTTGGAAAAAATTCCTATCAGATTTATTTCTCTGGCTAATGAAAGATTTCATTTTCAATTAGAAATCTTAAGTTACTTTCTACTAAAGCAATTAGGAAATGGGGGTTGCTGGGGACTGAACTCAGGCACTTCACAATGAGCCACAGCCCCAACCCTTTTTTCATTTTGAGACAGGGTTTCACTAAGATGCTAAATTGTCCAGGCTGGGCTCAAACTTGCCATCTTCCTGCCCGCCTCAGTGCTGGGATTACAGGCATGTGCCACCATGCCTGGCTACTACCAGTATTTTTTACTAAGAATCTATTGTAAGTCTAGACTCCTAACCCTTGGGTCATGGATCCCTGGGTGCTACCATTTTACTATAAGTAGTGTAAGAATCCACTGAATATTCTAAGCACTGCCACTGGCCTGAGAAATACATATACTACAACTTTAAACACACACAAACATACAAACACACAATTCATTTCTATATACTACTGACTTCTGAGTAATTTGAGGTTGTAAGCAAATACTAATAACTGAGAGTGTAAGTACTATATTTTCTCGTGGCTTAATAGCATCAGGACAAAAATCCTAAAAGGAAGGCTGAGAAAACATTTTCTCTTTAGTCTCATTTTCTCTTTAGTCAACAAAATGATTGCTTTGGTCATTATTTATAATGTCCAAGACTGATGTGGCACTCACAGTGCAGGCTGGAGACAGCCACTGGCTAGTCAGATTAGGGCTAGACAGATTAGGTATTAAAGTAGGCCTGTGATGAAAGGCAAGAAAAGAAGTGACCCATGCTCCAGAATGAAGCCCTCCCTTGTCAATCAGTAACCTGGGGCAGGACTGCCCCAGGTTTGGACTGACACGCTCCATTGGCTCAGAAACGGCCTCCACAGCAAAGGGCCAGAGCCTAGTAACAACATGTGGAAAAGCGATTAGGAAGAAAAAACCCTCTGCTCACGCTTGTCATTGAGAAGAGTGTAGGGAGGGATGATGAGTGGAATCAGCCAGGGAGAGGGGAGGGACGCCGTGGTAATAAAAGGGTGACGCTCACGAACACGTGTTTTCCTTTCTTCTCTCCCATAGCACTCATCACCCTTTGTCTCTCCTCATTAATGGCTTCTCTGCAGCAATACACTGCAAAATCAGTACAGGACCTGCTGGTTAAGGCCACAGGCCCACTATTTCTGGCTTAAATAAAACTCCAACCCTCTGCACTGCCAATTTTCCAACCATGTGCCTCTCTGCCAGAAGAACACAGGCTGCAGAATTCTGGGCTGGGATGGGGAAGGCAGCTGACGGAACCAGATTTGTTTCAGCTGCTTCTCCTCCCAGTTTGGGTGCTCAGTTCTCCCCCACTGTCACTGGCATCTGCAGTAGCCATTGGTGAGAATGACAGTTATGAGGGCTGGGGAGGCTGTAGCCCAGCACCAGGGCTTCCTAGCACAGCTCCTGGCCAACAGGCTGCTCTTGACAGCAGCAAGTGCTTTTGATTTTTTTAAAAAAGACCCACATAGATTGTGTTTCCTTCTTCCCTATCATTTAAATGAGATAGATTAAAATCTGGAATCCAAACCCCAAAAGAAATATCATATGGACTGTCCAGTGCAATGTGGGTTATTTAGAAATCCAGCCACAAGAACTCAAAGCCCTGAGTACATTTGGTTGCTAAGTCCTCTGGGAATTGCACACTTAGAGAGCTTACAGAGACAGAAGGGATCTTAGACATCATCTAATCTGAGCCCCTTGTACTGGAGAGAGGATGCCAAGGTCATGTCAAACTATTAGTTCTACAGCTAGAACTTGTACTTCTTATTCTAGTTCCATACACATGCTCAACTCAAACCATAAACAAACACTGAATGCCTACATCAGGCAGGCACAGGTAAGCACTCGCAGCCCCTGGAGAGCACTTGTCAGGGAAGGAAGGGTGAGGTGGGGGCTGGGGAGTGGAGGGAATGATGTGCGAAGGACCCCAAACACTGCCAGAGCCCCTCTAGGACTTCTTCCTAACAGTTCCTCCTTAAGGCTTCAGTCCTCCATGGACCTGCTCCATGTTCCAGGCTCTTCCAAAATCTCCAACAGCACACACAAAATACCAACAACACACAAAATATCTGCCAAGTTATCACACAGGTTTTTGGAAATGGAAACTCCCCTAACAGCAGCATAGAGCTGATCCTGTCCCAATCTGCCCTCTAGTGCTCAAGCATCTTGAATTTCGCAGTCCTCCTACACCCATTGGAAAATGCCTAGGGCTGGCACATCACACACAGGATACCCAGTTGGCAAACTCAAATTTGACTATGGATTAAAACTTGGCCTTTCATTATAAGTATGTATTTAGACATTCTGTATTTTTGTTAAATCTGGCAACCGTTTTGTTACTAAAGTTTATGGACTTAAAATGTATGTGGGGAAAAAAAAAAGTAAGAAAACCAGGAGCATAATCTGGAGTTTTAAAAATACCCATCCAAAAAGCATAATTTAAAATGAGAGGAAAACTTCATATAACACACATAAAAAATCTAAGTTATAGGAAAAAGGTATGTGACAGAAAATAATTCCCTATAGTTCTTGTGCCATTAAATTATGACGCTACATTAGCCCATCAGATTCCCTTAAGGTAGGACACAGCTCCTGAACAATCCACCCAGGACCTCCCCGGCTGGTGTGGTGCTGGCTAATGGGGTCAGCACCACAGCTGTGAGCTAATGGATTCCAGTCACTCTGAACTCTGTGAAGATTCCTAGCTCCATCTCTTTTGGTCACCTTACCCAAGGTTGAGGGCAGGAAGACATCCCACCCTCACTATCAGCAGGCCTCCCACCACTCATATCTCTGCTCGACTCTTCATAAGGATTCTTTGGGTTTTTCAGTGCCAGCTTCTTCCTCCTGAGATAAAATCAAGATCTGAGACAACCTCAAAACAAAAAAAGTACTCATCCCACTCACTGATAGTCAGGGACAACTATCTTAAAATAAATCCATCAAGACCGTAGTATGTATGTATATACAGTCAAGAAGAAATGAAGTGTGATCAACATATAAGGTAAATGTTCAACTAAAAAAGACACATTGCTACAAATCCCCCTAACAATACTCCCTTCCCTTCATATACACTTATCCCATTATTCTTGCCACTTTCTGAAGCAGTTCTGGATGTGATCTTTCATGAGTGTCTTTATGAGGTGTGATCAAAATTACAGTGAATATTGCTGCTGAGCACCATTCAATGGAAAAGCAGGTTTGTAAAAAGATGACAATGTGTCCTCATTTGCCTTGTTCACCAGATCTTGCACCGTGTGATTTCTGGCTCTTCCCAAAGTCATAATGATCATAAAAGGTCAACATTTTAAATCAATTCAGGACATTGAGACAGCCACTACAGCATAATAAAGACATTCAGGAAAAAAGATTCCTAGCACTGCTTCAGAAAGTGACAAAAATGATGAGATAAATGTGTTTCAACCAGGGATGGAGTGGAGTGTTTTGAGGGGGATTAATGACAGTATGTCTTTCATTGTAATAAATTTAAAAAATTTAAACATTCACCATATTTTTCAATTACACCATGGACTGAAAATGTACAATCAGATTCTAGAGCCCGTGCTCTCAACCATTGTAGTGGTGTGGTAGGATGCAGCAGGGCCTTGGGTGACGGCAGCTTGGCTAATGTGTGGAATTTTCCAGAACACAAGACTGCTGGCACCGGAGTGGCTGTGCAGTATGGGTAAATGTGACTGGAATTTTATCTGCAAATGGCAGTGGGTACACTGTACACTCCCAGAGAACCTAGACCTGTGAGTGAGTGTGTCTTAGGTTCTTAGCCATAAAACAATGCAATTGAACTAAATAATCCCAGAAAGTCACCTTCAGCCTCAAAATTTTATGACTCACTGATTTTGTACAGCACAAACTATAACAGTACATAAAATGTCTTACAGTATTGATAGAGTATTGACTGCCCTACTTTTTAAGGAAAAGGAAGGTGAGTGGTACAGTGCTTATACCTTCACCCTAACATAGTGTTAGTTTTAAAAATTTAATGTATGTTCATGATCCATACAAGTTTTAATTGTTAACTTTAAATTATTGGAAACACAAAATCCAAGGGCCAGAGATGTCCTTCCCAAGTAGGAAAGGTAATGATTTTCTTTAACAAAAGGTAATATTTTGCGGGAAATGAGCTCAACAAAAAGCAGCCATAAAAACTTAGAGCTATGTGGTTGGAGGAGGAGCATGTGATTGCTAAAGGAAGGTGGGACGTAAAAATCACCGTGCTGAATGACAGCCACGCACTGCTCAGGCCCAGCAGCCAAGCCTGGAGCAGAACAAGGAAGGGCAGACACTCTGACGCCTGGGTGCAGTGACATCCTGGGCTTTCAAAAAAGCTGTTATTCCACTTTTTAACTTTAGCAAGTGCACCGATGAAGTTCTTCCCAAAGAGCCAGACATTGCCCTGGCCTGGACAGCTTACAATGAGCATAAAATTTCGAGCAAGGAAGGGTCACCTGTAATAGTGCGCCCCCCACAGCCCCAAGACGAGCAGGAGGACGAGTGCCACCACACAGACGGCGGCCACCGTGATGTCCCGCTGCTGCCCGTGGCCGGCGTGGCGCAGCTCCCACCATCTCAGGTCTCGGTGCTGGCATCGCTCCCCAACATAGCCAATGACACATCTGTGACGACACAAACAGAAGTCATCAGGGACCCTGGCCAAAGATGCTGGGTGTTTTTCAGCCTCGGTATCCAGCCACCCCCTACCTCTGCACGTCCAGCGGTCAGAAAGCCCATGGAAACCCACCAGGGATCAGCACAGCATTGCGATGTGCACATGGATGCAGCCCAGACTGTTGGGTCCGTTTGCCCTAGGGTGGGTGGGGGTTATTTGTGTGGCGCCTCTATGAAGCACTGCAGCACATGGCCAAAGGTCAGTTTCTTGTGGGCTAAAGTCCTAGGTGCCACATCTTAAAACCAACACAAAGTTCGGCCCTAAGAGCAAGAGGGTGTTGGAAACAAATGTTGGGCCAGATTGCAATAAGCACAGGTCCAAGCAAAGAGGAACATGAGAAAGTGTCAATGGCGATGCACAAACATTTGCCTGTTATCTTTAAGAGAGATAAACTATATGGAAGAAAAAAATGACCCTCACTCACAGACATGTTATTGTCTGATTAATGGAATTGTTACAGGAATTCTCAGTGACCAAGTTACTGTTAAACCTGCAAAGTGCATAAAACAATGCTGCCATCTACTGGGAATGCTCATTTCTAGAAGGGATTGGGACTTCTGCTAAACAACTGCATTCTGTTCTTTACAAGAGTATCAACCTGAAAAACATCTTATTCTGAGTTTCTTTCCTGTGGTCCTGGACCCGCCATCACCCTTCTGTGTCCCCACTTTGCTGCAAAAGGACTGCAAGAGGCGGTGCGGACAAAACTCAGACAGAACTCCAGGAGATCTGCATTCTCATCTGTGCCCTTGCCATGGGAGCTGGGAAGCCACTTCCAGAGAAAGAAGTAAGAGGAACCAGCACTTTAGTACCTTATGTATCTGATATCATATCATGCCAGATAGGCGATTTTACTGTTTCTTTTTTTATCAGTACTATGACTGAACATACCTAGCCCTCATTATTAATTTTTTTTTTTTTAATTTTAAGACAGGATCTCACTAAGTCACTAAGTTGTTTAAGCTGGGCTCAAACTTGTGATCCTCCAGCCTCAGCCTCACAGAATACTGGAATTACAGGCATGCACCACCATGCCTGGCTTACTCATTTTATTTTTGATGGCATGTCCCTATTTATAGGAGAACAAACTGAGGCTCGAAGAATACAAGGCCACTCAGCTAAGGAATGACAAGTTTGAGTCCAGTGATTCTCCCATGTAAAAGCCCATGTTCTTTCTATTATACCATGGTCCTTCCAAAGAGTTTTAAATTCTATTCACTGTGGAAAAGCATTCTAGACTTCAACAAGCAAGAGACAGCAGGACCTGCACATAGAAGCCTAAAGACCCATGTTACTTCAGGGTTTTGGACACTGTCTCAATTCTAGCTGTCTTCATTATAGCCAGGTTCCACCAAAGCCCAGGAGCCACTTTAAAACTGTTGGATGTTAACAGCCCCCACCCCTGAGCCTCACAGAGATTTGGGGTCTTGAGGAATATGTCAGTCATGTGGCCAAGAGTCTTGCTCCTTCCAAGGCCGAGGCCAGTCATACTGTGTAAGGTGGGAGGGCACAAACCCTGGTTGCTCTGATTACTAACCATTTCTGCTGAACCAAGCAAAAAGATTCTCCAGCTAAGTAAGTTCGAGTTTCCATGGTCAAATAATTTTAACATGTTCAAGACTAAGTAAGGGTAAACAAGGCTGCAATGTGTGTGAACTTTGCAATGCCATGAATCAAGCATCCCTCAAACTGAGTTGCCACACAACGCTGACTTCACATTTCACAGCCCTAGTTCAGGGAATGGAGGTCTGAGGGGGACTAGCTGAAACTCAGTGGGATGAACCAGGACTCTGCTGAGCTCCAGAGGTCCGGAGCCTCCTGGGATCCACAGACACTGTGCAGGTCTCACTGCCCTTCTGTCTGAGGGATGGCCTGGGGCTCCCCATGCCACTGCCTCCCAGGGAGGAGGAGGAGCTGGCCCTTGGGAAACCTGCCATGGACAGAAAGACCCCGGGGAAGTGTTTTCTATAAACCCAGGCTGGCAAGCACTCACAAGAGGGCGGTTTCTATAGAATTAATAAAACATAAGGTGAGGTCAGCAGGGCAGAAGGAGGGAAGGATGCGTTCTCGATTAAACTTGTGTTGATTGTACAGCTCAGACCCTGTTATGGTCCACATGACTGTGGATACCGGCAGTGTTTTAAATGCTGCTTCAGAGGAAAGGTCCTTAAATGTGAGCGTTATCTCCAGCTTGTCATTTTGTAGCAACGCATGCTTAAAACATTATCAGGTAAGCAGGATATTTTCAGCAGGGATTAGTGACAGAAAAAACAAGCAGTATGTTAAAAAGCTTGTCAATCTTTAATGAACTGACACCACCAGACCCAAATGAAAAGACTGTACTACATGACACTTAACCCTACAGTGCACTTCATGTCATTATAATATAGGAAGTTAAATGTCAGAATGAAAAATAAACTATGACCCAATACGCAGTGAGGACTTTTTTTGTAATTTTCTTATTCAGGAGGATAAGAAATGATGAACCAATAAAGATAATTTGGTTCTTAATATTAAAGAATACTAATTATAAGGATAACTATTATAAATTATAGGTTTATCTTAGGTTAGAAAATTATAGTCTGTAAATATGAAAGTGAAAGCAAAATTCTATTTGAATTGGGTCATTTCTGCTAAACTCATGATCATTTTTCCCAGTTTCTGCCAGGCTGGCTTGATTTATAATGCAAGGCCACTGTCACCCTTGGTCACAGAGTACATGTCTTCCTCTAATAATGGAGACTGTGCTTCTGTTCATCACTATTGATAAAAATCATGGAAGTCTTTAATCATATAGCATCTGTTCCTGAGAACCTGAATATTTTATTGCTCCCCCCCCCAATGTGTTTTAATATGTTCTCTGAAAAATCTGGTACTGGGAATGGAACTCAGGACCTTGCACTTACCAGGCACGTGCTGTGCCACTGAGCTAAATCCCCAGCTTTATTGCCCCTTCTCCAGGCACACAGAAAATTATTACTAGGTTAGGAGTTGAATCAACAGAGACTTCTCTATCAGGTCCCTCATGTTGCTTTGAAAATACAGAATTAACTAAAAGTAGACTCTCGTACAGAACGAGATGTTGTGAGATTGGGTTTTCCTAAAGGCTCTGTAGGAAAGGTTTTCCGAGTGAGCAGGGCAGCAGCGCCTCAGAGTGATTAGAGTGACAGACAGGTCTTCTTCAAATCTCCTCATGTGAAGCCGCCCATGGAAAAAGCGAACAGAAAGTAGCAGCTGTGCCCCCAGCAACAAGGCGCATGAGAAACTGACTCTCCAGAAGCAGAGAAAAACATGATTGGTTTCTTGTTTCTTTTTGCTTTTTAGTTTTAAAATACCGAAGCAATTAGTCCAATGCAAATATGTACCACACTTTTGCAACTTTAGAAACATTTTGTGGATGCTCCATTTATTTGGCAGAAAATATATCAAAGTTTAAAGAAATTCTCCATAAAATGTTTTTCAACCAGAATGAGAAATTTAATCCCCAGTCTATACTAGTGGTAACACGAAGTTATTTAAGTAAAAACACCATCATCAGTTCTCTAGATTTATATTTCCCATTGGTTCCTGGGGAGAGGTGGTAAGATGTGAAGTACACACACACACATACACACACACACACAGAGTTTATGCATGGGTATTTCTCTAAGGAAAATCTAATTGCAGGAGGAAAAATATCTCCTCCATATGAATTTTGCAAATTAGGAGGTTGAGGTAGGAGGATGGAGAGTTCAAGGCCAGCCTGGACTGCATAACAAGTCTGAGGCTTGCCTAGGCTCTCTAGCATCACTCTGTCTCAAAAAAAAAAAAAAAAAAAAAAAAGTTTTTACAAATTAGCTGAAAACCCTTGTTACAGCATGTATTGAGATGTTGCTCCAAAGCCTCATGTGCTTGTAGGTGGGGCTTTTCAGAGCTGGCTGGCTCTGGGGTGTGTGATACTGTGATTCAGGGTATGTGATACTAAATTTTACTCCACTGATTGGTTTAGCATAGTTCTTGGTGTGGATAAGGGAGATGCTCACCCTAGGTGTGGATGGCACCACCCACAAGTTGGATGGGATAAATGGGATACAGGGAAAGGAATAAAAGCAAGCTTGCTGCTTGCTGCCTTCTGCTTGCCATGCCATGAAATGTTTCTTCTCTGCCAGGCCACTCTGCCTGGAAACCAGCCAACTATGGACTGAACCCTCTACAAACTATAAGCCAAAATAAACCTTTCCTCCTTTAACTTGTGGATGTCAAGTGTTTTATCTCAGTGATGACAAAAGTAAAGAAGACAGTCATGGATTGCAGTGTCATCTCTGCCATTAGAAAGCCAAGTTGACTTACTTGCAGGCATAGGTATCTACTGCTTCGACATACATGCACACTCCACCGTGGAGGCAGTACCCGTCGTGTGAGGGGGGACACTCTGGGTAACCATTTCTGACCAGACTGCTGCCATCTTCCCCAAGGGGAGGGGGTGAGTTAGAGTCTGGAACAAACAGACATTAGTGATTAGTTTGGCATTAGTGATTTGGTTTGTTTGTTTTGTTTTGTTTTGTTTTTTCTGGTACTGGGAACTGAACTCACAATCTTGCGCTTGCCAGGCAGGCGCTGTGCCGCTGAGCTAAATCCCCAGCCCCGCATTAGTGATTTAGAATGTCAATATCAGGACTAATTTCTGTGACAATGTGTGATTCAGTGTCTTTTTGTGACAGTGACACTATGAGGAGTACCAATAGCCCTTCTTCCTTTAGGCTGACATTATCTGATATTAGACATATTGAGACACAGGGAGCGGCCAACCCTAAATCACCAGATGAATTCAGTCTCTGCTTGCAAAAAAAGCAAAGTTTCATCCAGGAATACACAATCACCGTGGGAAATGACAGCAAGCTGTGAGATGGAACCATTGAAAAACTAGTGGCTCTGTGTGGCTTACAAAGTCCCCCTCAATAACCTGGGAGTTCGGAAGTTCTTCCCACACACAATGCTTTCTTCTAAAAACTATTTCAGACACAAAACGGTGGCGACTCTGACAGAGAAAATGCTCTGATAGCAGAGGAATGCCAAAGTGGGTATGGCTCCTTTCACTGTTCCAGAAAAGTAAAACACTGGGGTGTGTAGGTGACTATATAAATAGCAGTTTTTCAATATCTTGAAAAGAGCAAATTATTTGAGGAAAAAATAACACTCGAAGACACCAACGAGCAGGCCCTGTGAGCCTTCCTTTCTGAGGATGTTCCCTGCTTGCAGAGCCGAGGCAAGTGGCTAGCAGGGCTGGGGAAGCCAGCTCCCCTTCCAGAAAGCTGAGGACAGAAGATACTGCTCTTCTGGGGAAGGTTCAGGAAGCAGAGGGCCCATCATGACAGCTTAAAAGGAAAGCAAAGAAAGCTAGTGGCCTGATTCAGATGCAGAGCACTGCCTTTATCATAATCCTGGCTTTTGTTTTAAAATCCTCCAAAGGCTTATTCTCTCTGTCGGCCCATCCCTGCACCACCTGACCGAGATGCTGCCCCTGGGTCTCCACTGTGCTGCCTGCTGTGGAAGCCACTGCCACACAGGACAGCTGGGCATGTGCAGTGTGCCCATACCACACTGTGTGCTGCAAGTGTCAAGCTCATAGCAGACTTTGAGGACTCTATGTCCAAGTTTAAAAGAATGTAAAATACTTCAACTGCAGACTGATTACATATTAAATGTTAATATTTGGAATATTAGAAAAAATATAATATATTATTAAAAGCCAGACATACAACTGACCTAACCCTGCAAAACCCCTGGGTTTTTCCAGCAAGCCCAGAAATCAACCTTACAAATGAAGTGATTAGTCACAGCATTCAAGAGAACCACGTCTGCCCACCTATACTGAATTGTGAGTAATAGAAAGGGATTTATTCCACATGCTGCTAAATTGAGAAGGCTGGGAGCATTTCAGATTCTTAAACCCAGCATTGGTCTGAGGAAAGAGGGGAGCAGAACTCCCAGGAAACCCCGCACCACCCAGACCACCCAGCAACCTACCCGTACAGGGCAGCTCAGGCTCAGACGGGCCACCGGCACAGAAGCAGGTATAGCCACCCTCTGTGTTTGTACAGCTGGCACCCGGCCCGCAGCTGTGCACTTCCAGCTGGCACTCATCAACATCTGCCAGGAGAGTAGGGTAGCAGGGAAAGTGGGGCACGGAGGAGGAGGAAAGAGGTTACTGGACTGGAAAGTCTGGCATCTCTTTAGCTCCTGTCATGCCACACATTCTCAGGGCCCTGTGCAAGTTTTGAGATTCTGTCACTACAGTTGAATCCTTGGCTATACACCCACTTGGGTGAAGAAGACCAGAGGAATTTTCCTCAGACCTGGAAGAAAAGAAGGCTTCCCCAAACCGGAGACTGGTCAACTGTCTCCAGGCAAACATCTAAATATTCAGATCCTAAAATTTATACTTCTTTTTTGCAAATAGACATCTAGCCATTGACATAAACTTCATTCAAATACAACTTTTTGCTTTTTCTACATAGATGTGAACTATGTATAAAGAAGCCATCCTTTCTTTTGCAACTCTCCATCTTTCTCATTCATACTACTACCACCCTAATATATAGGTCTTTCCACTTTCCCTTCCCTTCCCTTCCCTTCCCTTCCCTTCCCTTCCCTTCCTTTCTCTTCCCTCCTCTCCTCTCCCCTCTCCTCCCCTTCCCTTTCATACTAAAAAAAGAACAGCATCACTACACTCCTGCATCCTGCTTCCTCCAAGCTGCAGGTAAACACCAGTTCCAGATTATTCCCCAGAAACAGCAATCCTGATGGAATCCTCCTTGTGCCACTTGGCTGGGACGCCACCGGCTCTCTGCTGTGCTGTTCAACATGGTGGCCATGGCACCAGAAACATGTGTGCTCCCTGGTGAGGTGCCCTGTAAGCTCAAATACTTACCAGATTTGAAGACTCAGTATCAAAATATAAAATAGCCAATAATTTTATACCAATCACATATCAAAATGCTAACATTTTAGATATATTAGAATAAGTAAATTATTACACTTAATTGCATTTATTCCTTTTCACTTTTTGTAATGTGACTACTAGAATATTAGGAGAGCCCTGGCCCAGGAAGTGAAACCCCACTGAGCAGCTCTCCAAGTTGAGATCTGACCCAGATAACCTAAGCCCTCTGCTAAGGCCTGAATTGTGTCCCTCCATTTCCTGCACAACTTGCATGTTGAAGCCATGTCTTCCAGTGTGACTGTATCTGTGTCTGAATGTAGGGTCAGGGAGGAGGTAACTAAAGTTAAGAAAGGTCAGAAGGGTTGGGCATTAGCCAAAAGGAGTGGTGTCTTTAAAAGAGAAACAAGCAGAAGAACATACTCGCTGAACACCACACAGGGAAAGGCCGCATGAGAACACAGTGACAAGATGGCTACCTGTAAGCCGGAAAGAGACCGTTGGCTACAACCAAGCCAGCCGCAACTTCCACAGTTCTGGGACTTGAAGCTTCCAGAACTGTGGAAGCAAACGTCTGTGTAGAAGCCACCCAGTCCTCAGCACTCTGTTACTGCCTAAGGTACAGAAGTAGGCTTACTGTTCTTCCCTACTCAGGACAGTTTTTCGCTGTGCCTGGAACGCTCCCCAGCTCTTCCTGTCCCTGCCTAATTACCATTTACTCACTTCCTGTGCTCACTCCAACATGGACCCTCTCCATGAATTCTTGCCCAATACCTCAGACAGACACTTCTCCAGTTCTAAACTTCACCCCTCATCGTAGGTGTCTTCTTTTCCATCCCATTCTCCTTGTACAAAGCAAGGACTGGCTTCCTCATCCCAGCATTCCCACAGCTGCTGCTTCTGTGCCTGTGAGCCCTAGGAACCGATGACACACTTGTCACTGTGAGTTGCTACCCTAAATGGTTCAAACTGACTCCTTTTAGACTGACTTCCTGCTATAATCTCAACAAACCATCACCTTGAAGGAGAGAGAGAGAGAAATAGAGAGGAACAAGCCCACTGGTTCCATGGGGCAGAGGCGCTCTGTGGCACACTCAACCCTGGAAAGAGGTGGGTTAGTGAGAGTCAGAATCCAGAGTCGAATGACTTTAAACATTTGAGAAAGGACAGCTTTTCAAAGGAAATTAAATAGGTCTGTTTATCTAAATTATCTATGAACCTGCTTAATTAGAGCAGTGACATTTTCCTGACTGACCGCCAAATGTGTACTCTATAAAGCATCTCAGGTGTGTGTGGACTCCAAGAAACTGATCTGGATAAAGGTCTGTGGAGAGCCACAACTGATACTTCATCTCGAACCTTCACAGGAGAAGAGGCCCTGTCAAGAAAGTTTTTTACCAGCACATCTTCCCCTGCTGAAAGAGATTTGTGTTTTCAGAAGGATAAAAAGAAAACACTGCGAAAGACATGGCAACAACCTGTGAAATCCAGATGACCCTGCATCAGGGGGCGTGGCTTGGGGCAGGTCCTTGCCTGTGTGGTGATGCTAAGCCACTGACACTGCGAAGGCAGGGCCATCCACCAGGTGATATCCCAGCCCAAGGGCTTGCCCAAATTTGCAAGGTGGCGATTACGAAACAGCTGTCTGTCACTCTCCGCTGTTATCTGAATGCCAGTGGCTGGACTCTCCCACCGACTGACACTGTCAGGAACTGCCCAGGAGCTCTCTCCGGAGCTGCACACACCTCTCCACACACACCTGCACCCCGGGGCCAAGTTTGCTGACTGAACAGTGCTGTCCAGGCCCCATGATGGCTCCCAGCATGGAGTACCGATGGAGACCGGGTCAGCGGTGGTGACCTTTCCAGGGCCTTGGAGCCACCAGCGCAGTGACAGCACAACACAGCAGTATGATTGTTCACCAAAGATTGAAGTGTGTCCGTCCCAACAGGCTGCACAACTCCTCTGCCATCCTGTCTGCTCTCAGCCTGCCACACCCATGAGGCTTCCTGATTCTCCAGGGTTGCCTCTGCCCTCTGCCCTCTGCCCTCTGCCCTCTGCCCTCCTTTTCCCTCTTTCTCACCAAGACAGTGAAGCCCATCTCCATGGTACCCAGCCGAGCACCTGCACACGTAGCTGCCTTCTGTGTTGATGCACTTGGAGGAGGAAGGGCAGGCGGTGCCATCCATTGCACATTCGTCTATATCTGTGGGCCAAACGAGGCACTAATGAGATACTTAGGCAATGCTGCCATAAATGGGAACAGCAGCAAAGAGTGAGCATGATCTTTGCAAATACACTGCAAACCCTGTTTCTTGGTGGTAAAGTTCACTTCTGGATTTACTTTCATAGAGTTCCCACCTGTCTGAATACCTAAGTCTTAAATAACAATGTGGTATTTTCAAGGCGTTCTCATCTGTCTGAATAGCTAAGACAATCACTTTGTACAGAGTTTCAGACCATAAGGACTCTTTTCCAAGACAGGCGTGTTGGAGCACACCTATAATGCCAGCACCATGGGAGGCTGAGGCAGGAGAGTCACAAACTTGAGCCTACTAATCACTTATTTATAATTTTGAGGCTGTCAAAATAAAACAGAAGCCTATCCACCACAGTCCACTTATTTGAATAAAACGTAGGCACTAATCTTCAAGGGAAAATGTTCTGTTTCCACTGGAACCGGTGAACATACACATTTTACTTCAGTCAAAGTCACTCCTCTAACTACAAATTATTCCTTTTAGTACCAACTGCAGTTATTGCACGACGTTAACATAAACTATTGTTACCATGTGCAAATATACTTATATATATGCCTTACATTTTCTATGCATACCATCTATTACCATTATTATTATTATTTAGCTAACATCAAGTCATTTCTTTAAACTTGCTGATTATATAAATCTTTCTGGCAATTTTGCATTCTTAAGAGCAAAAAGGCTGTTTCCAGTTTATAGTTTTTCAAATATGCATATTTGGCTTTTACTCTTACCAGTACATAGTTTTCCATCCCCAGAGAACCCTTCCAAACACTGGCACGTGGTGCTGTCTCCCTCTGAAACACACCGAGCGTGCACGCCACAGGCTGCCGGGGTGCACTCATCCTGATCTGTAAAGCAAGAAGCCCACACAGTTATGTCCAACCCTGAGAGGACAAATGGACGTCAGTGTCCTGGCTTCTGTGGGATGCGCCAGCACTTTCCAACCCAGAACCCGGGAGAAGTGCTCTGTTGACCTGTACACTGGATCTAAAGCAAAGGTTCACACAAGCTTTGGTTCTCTTCTTGAGACTTAACTGTTGGTGTTGAAAGACGCCTGTGTGAACTGGTTTATAATTTTTTAAAATTTTCAGGTCTGAACTACAAAACTGCTACAAATACACGAACTCAAGTTTCAAAAGGTTTATTGCTTATTTAACAATTCCCAACTATGGTGGCCTACTTAAGGAGTCAATCTTTTCTCCTCCCAATAGCACACAAGTATGTGGCAAGCAGGTCTGTTCCCCACCATGGCAAAGATAATCAATAAGAGAAAGATCCACCATCCATTCCCTAATATGCTTCATTATGTAGTGACTGTGTATGTCACAATGTGTATTTATATCAAGATTCATGCAGTGACTTGCAGACCTCCAGGCACTTTTACAAAGTCATGAATCATACAAGTTAAACGCTGTTAATGGATCACTTCATTTCATACTCCACTGAAATGCAAACACCCCAGGGGACACGGTTACACGGAGAGCCATAAACAAGAGCAAGTTTTTCTCTGTTTTGCCTTTTCACTTTACTTATGGGTAGAATCCTTCTCCAAAAGCCACCTACCGCCTAGATTTTGGAGTTGAAGGATCTGACATACACAGTAGGATATAAACAAAGGATCTATTATTCACTGTTGAGTTTGTTCATCTACACGTAGAAGAGATGAAAAAAAAGGTCTTGCAAACATGCCGTAAGTCACAGAAAGTTAAATGATCTAACAGGATTCAGGTGCCTTGCAGACCCTGGGTAATTTCATTTGATTCACTTAGCTACTGAGCAGGACACCTTTCTTTGTGAAGATGCTCACCTTTCCTGCTGGCTTGGCCATCTCTTCTCATTTGCGACCCAGTACGGTTACTTCAAATGAATGAATTACCCACTGGATTCAGTGTTCATTTTGGAAGACTAGATCCCAAATCACAAGGCTGCTCAGAGTATTGCATGTGGATAGTATCCAATTACCCAAGACATTTTGAATCCCTTGTAGAATTACCCTAAATTAGAATATGATTCAAGACTTACTGGGTAACTTGCAAACCTTGAGTCAGCGTTGCATGATGAAAAGCAGTGGATATGCAATAGCAGGCGGGATGGGCTGGAGCCCAGGTTCTTTCTGCTAGGGTTAGTTTCTAGCTAGCTCTGGGAGGAACACTGGCACACACACTCTTCCTCTCCCAACTACAGGGGCAATTTCTGCTAGGTCTATTTCCTGTGACTATTGTAAAGGTTGGTTGGAAGAAAAATGTATTTAAAAGATCTCTGAGAAGTTAGAAGCATTGTGCATATTTAAATAGAGATATTAAAGGATATCATGACATACTGCTGAAGAACCAGCTTCTCTGGGCCGGGATGTAGCTCAGGGGCAAAGCACATCCACAAGCTATGTGAGGATCTGGGCTTGAGCCCTCATACTGTGAAAGGAAAGCAGAGGAGGAAAGGAAGAAGGAAAAAGAAGACAATCTAGCCTCTCACACGAGAAGAGGCTCCAGGGTCTGTCACTAAAAATAAAATTCATTCAAAAACACCTACTGTGTCCCAGGCCTCACAGAGAACCAAAAACAGAGTGATGAAGACAGAGAGGGGGCCCTGCTGCCTTGTGTAATTATGGAGATACAAGTGTGAGGATATGGTCAAGGACCTACGCTGGGCTCTAAGAGCTCTAACGGGCAACCCCGCTTGGCCAGGGTCTAGGACAGCCTTTCTGAGCAAGAGCATCTTAAGCAGGCTGTGCCGGCAGGATGGGGAGGGGTTCCAAAGGGCACTGTGAGCTGAGAGACAACCTGTGTGTGTTGTGAGCGAGGCCAATACACCTGCAGAGCCAGTAGAAAGCCAAGGACAGCAGGCTCGGTGGGCCCAGCGGGGTCGGGGGGTTCACAGACCAGGACAAACCAGGACAGACCCAGGAATGGAAAGATGAGGCACTCACTGCCGAGACACGATCGGCTCCATCTCTCCTGCAGGGATGGGTCTCTCCTAAAGATGGGGAAGGCGGCCATCTCCAGACGGGAGGTCCACGTGCACTGTGCCATTTGGACTGGCAGATCTCTGGCCACCTTATCCGTCCGCTACACCACCATATGCTTAATTTACTCTATCACTTACCTTGGTCCTTGAGTCCTTCAACTGTTAGTCTTCCAAAATATTCTCAATAAAGATCCCTGATGAATTGAAAAGATTCTCTATCCTGCTAATATTGACCAAAACCATTTTACTTTATCCCATTGCCCATCCCTTCCCCATATCACATTGTATTTAGCCCCCAGCACTCAGTACAGTATATGCACAATAAATGGCTAAATATCCCTACAATCACAAAGTTTTCCAGTACTCCTTATTTTAGCATGAATTAATTATTTGGCCATAATTTTCAAAAATCTTTGGGCAAGTCACAAATTAACATACCTCAGTCTTTGTAATAAGGATCAAAATAGAGAACACACTTAAATACTTGGTGCATACTTAAGCTCCATGCAAAAGCCAAGTATCATTATTATTAAAATACACCTCATTATCTTATCAAAAATGACCCTGATGAGATGGGCTGTGAGATTCCTGAGCCTCACACAGCTAGGAAGTCACCCACAAGCCACAGAGGTCAGGGAAGTGCTTCCTTAAATGCCCTAAAAATGTCTTTACAGCTACAGACACATTGGGGAAATATAATGCTAATCCATAAAATAAACAAATATAGTATTTCAAAGTCAAGTTAAGCTGCAGTGATGGAAGGGCAGAGACCTAGGGAGAAGAAAGGGTGGGAATTGTAGAAGCTCTGGGACAACCAGCTCTGGATGGAAAACTACTGGCCTTGCCAGTGATTACAGAACATAAAGTGAACACAGAACATAGAAGACTGAGGTTCCCCAAAGATGTTACATACTGAACAAATTATTTGACATTTTGGTGGGAAATGGTACAATATAGAAGAAAAGAATTCTAAGATTTGCTATAAATCCACTTTCTGCAGCAGTTGAAGAAACAAACTGATACTTGTTCATCAATTGCTGTCAACTTTTCGCACTAGCAGAGGCACAGCAAGATGGAACATGTACCAACAGGTGTAGGTAGAGACACAAATCTGTTCTGCCCCAATTTTCACCTTTGTTTCCAAGTTATATTCCTCTGAAATCATTCAGACCATAAACTCTTAAATGTGCAATGCATGTCCAGCCTAACGTGGAGGTGGACAAACCATTCAGAAGAGAAAAAGGACTTGAGTCCAAGGTTTGGTTTCACTAGCTTGCGTGATTTAGCCAATGTTAAGAGAGAATCCAGAATTTTTCCTGGGTAGAATGGAAACTGGTGGAACCAAAGAACTGGAGAACCCATTATACATACCTGACACCATGATTTCAGCCACTAGCATGTGCTCAGGTTCTGTGGCATTGCCTTCTGGTGCCTTAGTTCCAGATAAGTTGTCCAGTGCTGTCCCCTGCTTACTTTGATCAGCTTCCCCACCTGTCAAAGGCCAACAGATGCAGCTAATTCAGCATTTCCAGAAGAGTTTAATTTTACATTTATGGCTGTTGTTTGCTTAGGTGTTCAGACTCATGCTTACAGTATGAGGATCTAGGAAACTGGCAGGGCTTTGCTGTTTGAGAAATCATCTACTATCCTGCACCCTCCCAGGCTCACTCAGTTGCCCTTGATGGTCTGGTGAGCAGGAAGGCAGAGGGGAAGAAAGGGGACTCTTTTAGGTACTGGCAAAAAACAAGAGTAAATACCAAAAGTCTCATAACCATAATGAGATTATAATCACAGACCACTACGGCTAAGATTTTCCCCACCTGAATTCAACATATACTTTTTCCTTTAGGTTGTTTTCATGCCTATTTTACCCTGATTTTACCTACAGTTTAAAATCTGAAAGGGCATTGTTACAGTTTGTGTCTGTCCCCCCAAAGCCTCATATAGTCATGGGGCAGACTTTTAGATTTTACTTTTTTATTTTTTTTACTTCTAGAATTTATGATTGACTCATGGGTGTGGGCACTACACCTGCCCTGGGGTGGATAGTTTGCATACAGTGTAAGCGAGAGAAGGAGGCTGCTTGCGGCACCTCTTCCCCTTGTGCTCTTGTTGCTTTTGCTGTCTTCTACTGCTATGAACTGTTGCCCTCTGCCATGTGCCACTCTGCCTTGGAGCCAGATGAGTATGGATTAAAACCTCCACAAACAGTGAGCTAAATAAACCTTTCCTTCTTTAATTTTGGGCTTTGGGTATTTTGTCTCAGCAATGAGAGAAAAGTAACCAAGACAGGTATAAAGAAGCCGTAAGTTAAAACAGGCCAGGGATGCATACACCTACTGCACCCCACCCCTGAGGAGGCAGAAATGGATGTTCTAAGACAGAGCTTTTCTCTATTGTGTTCCCCAGACCCGTGAGGTACGAGGGCACAGAGCCCACAAGGTCAAAACTGTCTTCATCATCACACTTGGATGTCACTTGCTTCTTCTCATGTGTGCACACTCATAGTGATAGGGCAAAAGCCACGGTGGAGACCACTGCCAGGGCCAAGGCATGGACCATGGTGGTGACAGTGAGCTCCATGAGGAGCTGCACTCCTCAGCACCGTGTGCTCACATTCACCATGAACAAAATTTAAAAATCCAGTTCACAAGAAGCTCTTCATGAAGCAATAAGAATTATAATACTTTTCCTTATTGGAATGCTGTTTTTAAAATTAGTTTTTCAATCTTTCTTTTTTTATTAGTTCATGTTTGCAGTACACAATGATCATATTCCTTGCATGGTACATAACACACCTCAGTTCTTTTTTCCATCCCCTTCCCTTCCCTCCTTCCATCTCTTCTTTTCCTTACCATTTGCAAAAGATCTATCTCCCAACTTCCCATTATTTATCTTTTATTTTGCTCTTTATTTAAACTTTGGGTTTCTCATATAAGAGAAATCGTGTGATATTTAAGCCACTGTGTCTGATTTGTTTAAAACTCTTGACCATGGACTTGAGAACTGTTTAATTTTCTGCATAATAAAATGAAAAGTACACCTGAAATGCTTCCAGTGCCTACTGGAAGAGATGACAGTCACCAAGAGGAAGAGCACAGAAGTGAGTTGAGTGTCAGCTGAAATGAGCCACTTTTCTTCACTGGATGTGATTTTTATTTGGGGGGTTAAAAAAGGACTAGCAGGCAAACTGTGCTGGTGTGCCTGTCACTTTAAGGAAAACAATGGGCAGTGGTTGTCATCAATGGCAAGTTCCACACTGCAGTGAAGCCATCAGAAACTACTGCCTGTCTCGTTCTGGTACAGTGTCCAAAAAGAAACAAGAAGAACCCCAAAAAAGGCATTTCAAGTGGCTATTAGCAGTCCTTTCCCAAGCCCATTCCCAGTGCGGGCTTCGCATCAGAGTATTCAACAAAAACAATGCACAGCAGGTTTAACTCAGAAGTAGCTGTGAGCATCCAGCTGTCCTCTATTAAACCAGACCTTAAAGATGTAAATATACAGCAATGCCATGCTACACATAATATGTTTCCAGTTTTGGGAAATATACTTAAGTTACTGTTATAAAAATGTGTTATGTGACTAGATAATGGATTTATTATTATAAGCATAAGAAAGATGCTTTTAATTTTCTTTTTAACTTTTAATATCATAAATATTAGCAGATATAATCCACATAAACAAAACCTCTTCAGGGGAATCTCAATAATTTTTTAAGAGTATAAAAAGGGCCTGAGACTAAGACATATGAGAATTTTTTCCTAAAGCAACAAATCAACTAAAAATTATGAAAATCTAAACTATCCAGCCCTGAGCCATGGATAGATCAATCCATTTATTTCTTGCCACTCTGTCATCTAACATATTGACACCATGGCTTACTAGACAAATATAAATTTATAAAACCCTTTTGATAAAATTTAAATTATCTTTTGTATGCTTTTGGTAGAAAGATATCAAAAGATGACTCCCCAGTCTGCCTGGACAGTTTAGAAGGACACCATCAGCCACTGATTTTTCCCTGGCCGCCCTTCCTCCCCCTCAGTCATATTTAGTTTGTAAAAAAAATGGATCACAAGCCTTCTCAGGTTGGATTTCCAATTTGTTTGATATCCTAAAGTTATTTTTTTATAACTTTGTTTTTCCTATTAAGACCTGTCACATGGGAGGGAAAGTATATTCCTACTCCTAAAAATGAAGATATGAAACTTCTACACAAAACCTCTGAATATTTTTGTGAGGTCATGAAATGCTAGCATTAATTCCAGGCTTGTGCCAACTCAACCACAAGTGGAGAAGTTGTAGACTTTTACCACTGGGAAGTCTATTTAATTTAGTGTTTCATAAGGAACCCAAAACTCATCAAAAGGATGAAAAACCCCAACACACTCAGCATTTATAAAAATAAGCGAGCTTTTAGTGACATAAAATATGAAACACCAGGCAAAACAGAGGGACATGTGGAGAACAGACTCCTGAGTGGGACAATTTAGCAACCTCATTTCCTATATTACCAGCTGACAGCTGATGACTCTTCAGAGCCAGGCACATCTTCCCATCTGGGGCACTCCTGAAACCTTCACGACACAAACACTGAACAGTTCCAAACCTCTCCTGACAAATGTGTTCACAGCCTCCGTTCTGATGCGAGCAGGGGTCTGCACCTGGTAGAGAAAAGAAGTGACTTTGGGGTGAGCTGGGAGATGCAGAAGATGCTACTGATGCCTAACATCATCCATGGCTCTGGGGAGAGCCACTCCATGGTCTCTAAAGAGAGGACTTGTCCAGAGCTCCTACTCTTTCGGAGGGCTTCCCACAGAGCCACTGATTCTCAGGTAAGCACAAACGTGACTACCTTGTGAATACTGATCGAGGATGGCCAGCACTTTGGCTCAAAAAGCTCTTTAAGAGTCAGCTGTGATCCTTATTTCCTGACCCATCAGTCAGGCAAGCTGACAGGGCAACCAGGACAGAAGGGCTGTGGCAGGACACTGAAGGTTTTTTCCACTGCTCAGGCTGGGCTGGGGGCGCCCCTGTGGGTGGAAGTTGTCGCTGCAGGCCTCTAAATCACCTGCTCTTTGGGCCTGTAACCCAGGGCCGCAAAGTATCAGTAAAAACTGTACAGGAAGGGAAAAGATGAGGTCAGCAGTATGAAGCCCAAAGCACCCAAACTACCAAATTAGGGCTGAAGCTAAAATTACCAAACTACCAGACTGTGCTACCTCAAGCATAGTCCAAATCTTAGAAAATTTCAACATCTATGCAGATTAGTGGAGTCCCCTCCGCCCACTGCCTGCTACTGATTAGAAGAGTCGCGGATTCCAGCCCAGGAGGACGTGGGACAGCTGCAGTGTACCTGGTTTTGCCAATGGGTGAACCACAACCAGTGAGGAGGGTTTCAGCACGCTGCCTCGCAGACGTACCCTGTTTTGGCCAGTCCTCTTGTTCACCCTCATTACCGACGGCACGGCCCAGTCCGACAGCCACAGGTGGTCCTCAAACACAGCCACGGCGAAAGGGTGGCCTGGAAGCAATTCACAGCATTAGCAGATATTGCTGCTTCTATGAGAGGGTGAGGCTTGAAACCCACATGCTTCCTACACGTGACCAGGTCCTCACTGGAGTGCTCTGCATGGAGCTGTTGACCTACACCTGCATCCAGCAGAACCGAGGGTACAGAGACCTAGCCCTCCAGGGGAGCCTGGGCTCATATGAAGTCCTAGCAAAGTCCTTTATCATCGTCATCACCCCACATCTGGACAGAATGTGAGCTGTTGTTTTCAGTCCTGTGTCCAGAACTCAGGGCCTTTGCATGATCTTTCTTTGAGATGGGGTCTCACTAAGTTGCCCAGGCTAGGCTCAAACTTACAGTCCTTCTACCTCAGCCTCCCAGACTGCTAGGTTTACAGAAGGCCAAGGTGGGAATGTTTTGTCCCAAGGTCATCTGCCGCTCTTTATAGACTGAACTTGAGAAAGTTGCTCTGCTGCTCTTTGCCAGAGGTTCCTCATCTTTTCAACTGTAATAAATAGTAGACCAGACTCATAAGTGGGGTAAGGCTTTTTAAAACCTGAGGTAACAATAAGTGTTTCTCCAAATTCTCATCTCCACCAGCACATCTCTCTGCTTTAAACCCCTCTCTCCTCTTACCTAACAGCAGTCCAGGGACTGCGCCTCTTGTGTCACCGCACCCCCAGGCCTCTACCGGGTCTCCTGTTAGCCACGCCCCTCCCTCCACTAGCTTCCTTCCTGCAGTCTAGTAATGTCCTCTCTCCTCTCCCTCTCTTTTTCTTTGCAATACTGCCAGTTAAACCCAGGGCATCCACAATGAGCTACATCCCCAGCCCTTTTAATTTTTTTTTGACTCAGAGTCTTCCTAACTCACTACATTGCCTAGGCTGGGTTTGAACATGTGCTCCTCCTGCCTCAGCTGCCCAGAGTGCTGGATTATAGGTGTACGGCACTATGTGTGGCTTTTCCAGTCTTAATTTCCTCATCCCGTTGATCCCTCTAATTTTTCTTTGTTTCTTTACTTCCCTTCCCCTCCTTATTTTTCCTGCAAACTGGGCACTGCATCCAGGAAACTCTGAACTAAACCCTACTCTTTTTTGTATTTTATTTTGAGACAGATCTTGCTAAATTGTCCAAGCTGACATTGAGTTTGTGACCCTCCCACCTCAGCCTCTCGAGTAGCTGGGATTACAGGAGTGCACCACCAGGTTTATTCCTTCCTTTCTTAAGTTTTTTTGAAAGTCACGTGTTATTTACTGGCTCCATTTCATGGCTGCTTTGACCACCTCTCCATGTCCCGAAACTGATTTGATAAGGTACTGAAACACTTAACAAGCAGGGAAATGTCCTCACACACTACCTCAAGCAGTTACACAATAAAGCTGTGCAGGCTCAAGCTTTAATCGTGCCTATTCACATTCCCCAGGACAATCTTCTCGCAAATGAAAAATGGCTTTGGGGGATAAGCATGAATGTCTCCCTCTACTGGCGGCAAACGTAAATGACTCGTCCTTGAGTCAGTCCATGCACCACCGACCAGGGCCCCACTTTTTTAGCCTCTAACCTTTTATGCCAATTAATGTCTTAAATACAGCAAAGGAATTTTTTTATGCATTGTTATTGTTATGCTAGCCTATCTCCCCAAAGCCTCACATCTTCAAAGGGGACTGCATTTTGGGGCACTATAGGGCTGAAGTGAGCTTTTAGGAGGTGGGCCCCGGATGGAAGATCAGAGTCACTGAGGGTGTGACCTGGAAGGGCTTGTCTACAGCTTCACCATTCTCTGCTTCCTGGCCGCCATGCCATGAGCAGCTCTCCTCAGCCAGGCCCCTGTGCCATGCCTTCCTGCCTTGGAGCCCGCAGATCGTGGTCTGAGACCAGCCTAGAATATGACACCTTTACATTCTGCTTAAGATTTTGCAAGTACTCTTCTACCCTTCTATATTGAAGCTATAGTTTTATATTTACTTAGGTGGTATTTTTTTAATCTATGTCTTCCCTACAAGATTCCTTGACTTCACAGTTATTATATTTGATTTACTCAACACTGTATCTCCATTTCTAAAATGACTTAAGTGCATGGGTGGATAAACACTCCAACTGCACACAAGATTATCACTACTATGAAATATAATTTTTAAAGAGCCTTAGAAATACAGGACATTTAAATTATATTTATCTTGCCCTATTTCAGGTATCACACAAATCTAGAAATTTATTGCCTCTAAACCTCAGAGAATGGGTAGAAAAAAGTTTTACACCTATTACTAGTTTGTTAGCTTCCTCCTAAATAAAAGAGAGTAGCAATCAGTTTCTAAATCTCAAAAACATCTTTGACACCTGCTTGGCCCTCACCTTCTATAGCCAACCCGTTACCAGATCGCCTCAGTTTCTATCCACAGTGACTGACCCACATCCTACTCTCCTGTCCCACCACTGATAACATCTCATGCCTTCATTAACTGTTTCCTGCACAACAGCTGCAGCCTCCCGGTTTCCTTGTATCTAAATTCCAGTCCGACCCTTGCACTGCTACCCATGCAGTTATACAGAGATGCTGGTCTTATCATTTGTGTCATCTGCTCAAGAACGCTCGATACTTCCTGAGCAGATGCAGAATTAAGTCCAGTCACCACGCCTCAGCAGTTCTGACCCACAAAAGCAACTTTTTGCCTTTTATCCCCACCTGTTTGCCAAATGGCTCATTTCAAAAACTGCCTGCAGGTTCTCTGCATCAAAAGAGACCTCACACCAAACAAGTTCAAATCCACTTATACTTCCCTTCTATAAGGTATTTATGAAAATAAATGATCCCCCCCCGCCGGCAAAATCTGAAAGTACAGTAGGGAAGAAAACTATTATGTTGTCTTGTTTTTGTGCTACTGAGGATTGAATCCTGTGCCTTTACACTGAGTTACAACTCTAGCCCTTTCTAGCCCATTTTAATTTTTTTTTTCAGGCAGGATCTCACCAAGCTGCTAGATTGCCCAAGCAGGGCTGGAACTTTTGATCCTCCTGACTTGGCCCCCGAGAGGGTTGGAATTACTGGCATGCACCACCGTGCCCAGCTGAAAACTGCATTCATTAATCTTTGCATATGTTGTCTTTGATGTGCAGTGATGCCTAAAAGTGACATCATCACTCTTGTAAAATGACATTTTCTAAAACATAAGAAATAACAGCTGAACCAAATTTTTATCCCTAAATAAACACAGAAAAATTGAACATTTTCTTTCTGATTTATTTTTACTTAGTGTTTTAATGGTAAGATACTCCTTGCAGTTCATAATTCCCTGGAGAAGCCTGTTGGTCTCTATTCCTTTTTCTCACAATATGGCTAAGTGTGTGTGCATGGCTCTGTGTGTGATCGCATTTCATATGGGACACTCATCTATACTCAATCAAGATGAAATCGCCCACCCCAAGGCCTCACCTACATCATTCTGGGCAAGTCTCTGGCGTCTGGAACCATCCAGATTGGCCATCTCAATCACAGACCGCATGGCGTCACACCAATACAAGGTGTCTGTCAGGTAGTCAATAGTGAGTCCGCTGGGCTCCATCAGATCTGAGCTGGCTATAATCAGCCGGCCAGAGCCTTGAAAGGAAGAGCTTTCAATTCGTGGATTCATTCCCACATCGGTCCAGAACAACCTCCTTTAATGAACAAATCACACAATGAATAGATTTTTTCTGAAAAAATCGTTCCATTCTTTCATCACTGAAAACATCAATAGAAATTACTTCAGCATATGCTAAAGTGGTACACTAAGGAATTTCAAGGAGAAAATACAACACTGCATGATGGATGAAGAATTTTCAAAAGCAAAATAGTTAATTTATCTATGTAAAGCATGTTGGCTAAGCAAGGTTGAATGAAAGCTCAGATCATTAGGTTAAAAAAGGACTTTGTTTTTTAAAATGTATATTACTAATCAAAAGTGTGCCTAAGTGAGTATTCTTAAATTAGCTGCAAAATGCAGTGACTCTTGCTAAGCTGTTCTTTTGTTATGCACAGGTAAAACCACAACATAAGCAGAAAAGCACATTTACCTGTTACCTAGTTTTATACAGTGCACTAAATTTTCTCAGCTAATTTTAAGTTCCATAAACCAGGTGCTGGGAATATTTTTTGAAGACACTGTGGCTGAATGTTTTTTGGTCTGCTGAAAGATGTTTACATTATCACATTTTTTACCATTCAGTTGGCTTGAAATCAATGATTAATTACTACCAATATGTTATCTCCCATAGACTATTGGGAAATTTCCAGCACAGATAAAGCAGAGTTGGTTTTTTGTTTTTGTTTTTTAAGCAGTAGGAAAGAACTCTTTATTCTCCTTAATTGTCCACCCCGAAGCAAAATGTGATATGAATTTATAATTAACAGCATGGAATCTTTTAATCTTTCATATTTCCTCTTGCTTAAATCTAGGAATAGCACGTCACTTGAAGTCACCTGATGGTTTTTCTAAATAGAATTCCTAAATCAAACAATCCAAATATTCTTTTCCACTCAATAATTCATGCCGATTTTTTTAAAGCAAGTAGATTAATATGCTTAAGTCTCATTGGTTAATGGCTTATAGCCTACTTCTTCTTTAAAAAAAAAAAAGAAATTGAATTTGCTTAGAATAAAAGGCCATGTGAACAAAATTATTATACAAGAACAGAAAATCAAAAGACATCACAAAATTGAGGAATGCATGCTGCCACATCACTTCTGAAGATCTGAACAAATCTCCTGGACTCTCTCGGCTTCAGTTCCACTGACCAGCCTATTAGACATGAACTGACACAGGATCTGTGCAGAAAGGGGGCTTCCTTTCTCAAACACCTACTTGGCCATTGGATGAACAGCAATTCCTCGTGGCTGAGAGATATTTTCCTTAATGATTACTTGTCGATGCTTTCCATTTAAATTACTTCCTTCAATGACAGACTTCCTAAAATGAATTTAAATAAGAAGTTTATCACTGTTACTTTTCAAACAAAAATATTCCTTTTCCTTGTTCCTGATAAGTAAAGGTAAGTATTCTAAACTTCTTACCCTTACCCCCCAACGCACATGCACACACACACAGAGCCCACCTATTCTATTGTTTTAAAACACTCTTATCATCTGAATATTTATGCCAGGCAATTAAAATACATGGTTACAAGATGAGGTAATAGGGGACTGTGTCAGTGGCCTGGCAGGAACAAAGCCAGGATTGTAGATGCCCCCGTCTGTTTCTTTGCACAGGTCCCAATCTCCTGCTGAAACCCATGGAAGTTAAGGGCTGGGAGGAGTCAGGATTCAGGGTTTGTGGTCTCAAGGAGGGGGAAATTTTCATTGGCTCCAATTTTCTTCATGATTCCAAGATCCATGGGAGTATAACAGCCTCTCCTTATCCATAGTTTCACTTTCCATGGTTTCAGTTAGCTTTGTATGTGGAAATATTAAGTGGAAAATTCCCATAGCAAACAATTTATTTGTTTAACATTGTGTACCATTCTTTCTAGTGTGATGAAACCTTGTGCCTTCCTTGAGTTTCCCACTCTATTCTGCCTCAGACATGAATCATCCCTTGGTCTAGGGTATCCACACTATATACACTACTCTCCTGGTAGTCACTTAGTACTAAGCCATCTTGCTCATCAGATTGACTGTCTCAGTATAGATATCACAGTCCTTATTTTTCAGTAACTCTAATTTTACTTATAATAATAGCCTCAAAACTCAAGAGTAGAGATGGGAGCAATTTAGGTAAGCCAAAGAGAGGCTATAAACACCTTCCTTTAAGTGAAAAGGTAAAAGTACAAAGGGTATTTTGAGAAACCACGTTCACATAACTTTTAAAATAGTATGTTGTTTTCGGAGGTTTTTTTGGTACCAGGAATCGGACTCACAACCTTGCTCTTGCCAGGCAGGTGCTGTGCTTCTGAGCTATATCCTGGCAGTATATTGTTACAATTGTTCCATTTCATTATTTGTTGATGTTGTTGATTTTTTCTTTCTTTGTTTCTTTCTTTCTTTCTTTCTTTCTTTCTTTCTTTCTTTCTTTTTCTTGTTTTTGCTTTTTGAAACAAGATCTCACTACACAGTTCAGGCTGGCCTTAAGCTCACTTTGTAGCCCAGGCTAGTCTCGAATTGCAGTGATCCTGATTCTCCTGCCTCAGCCTCCTGAGTGCTGGGAGCACAGGTGTGCACCACCACACCCAGATGTTGTTGATTTCTTATTGTGTCAAATTTGTAAAGTAAACTTTATTATATATAGGAATCAGTACTATCCTTGGTTTTCCACATCCACAGAGGATCTTGGAAATATTCCCTGTGGCTAGCGGGAGACCACTGTACTAAAATGTTATTTACAAATATTTACATTAAAAATAATTTTTAGGTATTTGACAGGGTACATAAGTCTTACTTTTCAGTTTTTCTATGCATCTGCCAAACAAATCTTTATTATCAAACAAATATTTATTGAGCAATTACTGGATGCCAGTAATTGGTCTAAGCATTGGAGACACAATAGGAAACAAAACCTCATCTCTGTCCTTACAAAGGTCAATGGGAAGGAGAAAGGAGGAGGCTGGGAGGGGAAGAAGGGAAGGAGGCAGGAGAAGGGAAGATGGGATCATCTCCGAGCACATGAAGGTGAGCACCAAGAACAAGGATGTGTCCAGTGCAAACGGCAACTCCAGGAGGGCAAAGAGTGGGTAATCCCACTGAGAGGGGTTTGAGAAGGAGCCTTAGAAGTAATAACAAGCACAGTGATACAGCAGGAAGGGGCCCAAGGTGGGCGGGGACAGAGTATCCCAGGGGAGGAATGCACAGGTTCAGAGGCCCAGGGTCCAGAAAGAAGATGGGGTGCTCAGCAGCTGCTGCACTTTAGAAAGTTGTGTGGGACTGGAAAGCAGAGGGAGCAAGGCAGCCCAGGGGAAATGGTGATGAGATCAAGCGTTGGCCATCAGGATGGAAAAGACACAGACTTAGATGCTAAATGAGATGGCCACAGCCCTGTCCCCTTCAGGAGCTCAGCGGGGGCCTGGAGACAGGACCACAGGCTAGCCACTTGCCTCGTTTCTCCAGAGCAAACTAAAAATCATAAAGACCTTTTATCCATTCAGCAAACATCTGTGAAAGTCCAGCCACCACATCTTCATGGGCAACGTGGGCATGGAACAGGTCTGCCCAGGAGCCCTGAGCAAGGCTGAAATCAACTCTTGGTCTGGCAAGATCTGAAGGAGACCTCCATGCAGCTTACATAAGCCTCTTTAGGTGCCAGTTAGGAAGGGGCTTGTGCATATCTCCTAAAGGAACATTTGGCTTGGGACCTGCCCTGGGTCAGAGACAATGCAAACTTGCACCTCAGGGCAGTGGCTAACCTGAACCCACTTCAACTCCAGTGCCACTTTTAAAAGACCATGTTGTTTCCACTTACAATGGTCATAGTGAATAGGATAAAAGAAATAAAGACGGGCAAAAAGGAGACAAAATTGTACTTTAAAAACTGTGCAGCTTACAATATTTTTCCCTTCTAGACTACTCAAGCCTAAATTCCTAAATCTTAGAAAAAACAGGTTAAGCCCATGACTTTCTCCCATAAAATGGGCCCTTCACTTGTAAATGGGCTCTTATTATAGATTCACAAATTCCACAAATCTCCTCCCAAGACCACACAAAAGCTGCCGGCCCCAGACAACCATGCGCCTCTCTCTCAAGGGCCCACACTCACTGAGTGTGGATTTCTTTAATTCTGTCTAATAAACTTTCCTATGCCTCCCATAGCTGTGCCCTGCCATTCCTTTCTGTGATGTGCCAGCGAATCTACACCCTACTCCCTGGGAGAGGTGAAGTGAGGTCCCCATCTCTTTGGGGACCTTCTTGGGCCCCACCTGCAACAGTAGGAAGGGATCCTGTGGGTGTCTTTGAACTCAATGTGTCAAATTCAGTCCTCAGGCAAACTGTCCCCATGCTCCTGTCCTCCCTTGGTGGCAGAGAAGGGAGGAGGGTATATAAAAATATCAGTCCCAGTGTCACTGTTACAGCCTCTGTAAATTCTGCTCGGAGTAGCCATCAGGTATGAAAATTGAGCTCCCCAAAGTGTTCGACTAATGCACTTTTATCTGCAAAGCGCAGATGCCGGGGTAAGGAATGAGAAAGCAGAGACCATGAGATGCTTGGGCTCCCCCTTAATGTAGGGGAGCATCTTTTGCTTTATGGAATGGATCTGCCAGAGGAAAACCTGCCCTGCTTGCAGGTAAGAAAGGTCACGGAAGAGCGATTTTTTATCTTATGGCAGTTTTTACTGCCTCCACAGAGTGAGAAAACAGGTATCTTGTATTTAACCTCGAGGTTCTTTTTTTTATAGGACAGTTGACTTTAGGAGTCAGGATTCTTTCACCCTAAATAATAGCACTGCCAGTGGGATTATCAACTAGCTTCACTGCTAGTTGTTGAACCTGTCTTTTCCTCGGCCAACACAGACTGTAACCATGCCCCGGTTCTTAATTAGCTAAAACTTACCACGTTATCTAATATCACAAGATTGGAATCTCGATTATTTCAATCAAACTTTTAGCTAACGTGAAGGATTTCAAACTGTAAATCTCTCATTTCCAGACAAATGAAAGGTTTTGTTTTAGCAACTGCCTCTAGAGAGGAGAGGACTTCAGAAGGGCCCGTTTCCACAGATGTCCATGTGCTACAGAATTTGAGTCTGATTCTCCAGGATACTGGGTGCTTGTCTACGTCCTGAATGCAAGGCACCATGGTGCTCTTAGTCAAGCAGTGTTACAATAGGAGGAGCTTTGAGAGTAAAGGGAAATAGGAGAAGACCCAGCATCCTTTGAGGGCCCGGGAGCTATTGACACCTCTATAGTCCTGATCAATATTTACAGGACTCTGGGTCAAGCACATTTTAAATCAGCCCTGATTGTAGGGCACAGGACATCTCCAAGGTTATGATGTGAAGCTCGAACCACAGGCATGCTAACCGGGACTGCTCTCACAGGGCTCCAGGACACCCAGCCCATCACTGCGATATTAAGAGCTCAGGCACCGGAAATAGTGGTCCTTGACCTCCAGGTCCAGATCCATACGTGTGGACTGCTTGACCTTGGGGACATTATTTTACCACTTTGATTCTCAATTTTTTAAATCTTTAAATTACAGAAAATAAAACTTACTTCTTTGGGATTCAATGATATGGACATAAAGCTCTTAGTACAATATCTGGTGCAGTACAGTTACAGTTACCCAAATAATAAAGGAATGAAGGTACAGTTAAATAAAAAAGTGAATAAATAAAAGAAATATGCTGGATACAGAAGGGTCATTTTATTAATAACTGCACCCCACACCATTACGTCTGATTCCCATCGGTGATCCAGACCACAAGAGATTTTCTGGAACCCAGAAATCCTACACTCAAGCACATAAACCAAGTCCTTGAGAGTTTTCTCTCTGTATTCACAGGGGCAGACCCTATTAACTCCGTCTTCCTTACTTTAACATGGAGGTTCCTGATGTGGCCTGCAGGCACTCAGAGACAGTAAGCCGAACACAGAGCCCCTCAATTACCTGCCACAGGCTCTGGGTTGAGGTTTGCTGCAGGAGCAAGGAAGCAAGCCCTTCATCACCAGAGGGCACAGTCATTCCATCACGGACCCCCCACTCTCCCATCTTTGTCCTAGGCTCACAGGGACCCCGGACCTCCCCACAGCCCTGCAGGCCAGGTACCCAGAAGACAGGAACACTTGACTTCACTCTGTCTGCTGATTCCCACCAAAGGGAAAGTAGGCCAACCTCGGCCTGCCCCATCAGTGTCCTCCCAACTCCAGCGTCCTCTCCCCTTCCTGCTTGCTCAGCAGGAGCCAGCCTGTGAATTCTAGTTCAAAATGTGTCCCTTGCATGCCATGTAACCTGGCCTAACTCACTTAGCCTGTCTGAGCCTCATATCCTTCACCTGTAAGATGATCCCTGAAACCCCTCCCATCGATCCCTGTGACTGTACACCCTGCATTTGGCAATTTTCTAAGCAGAGCATTATGACACTCCTTGTACTGATATTTAGACTGACCATGTGCACTAATTCTTTGCTGGGAAAATGGGCCTTATCTCCTCAGCTATACCAAGATCCGACTCCAAAGATGGGACTCACCTGGGCTCCTCTGTGTCTCCCATGTTACCTGGGAGACAGCCTTCTCCTTAGCAGATGCTCAGTCAGTGCTTACTGGATGAATACAAACAGGCTTTGGGTTTCTCTGGTAACAGCAGCCTAACCTGTATAAGGACATGCTAATTTCTTGGTCACTGAAATTGTCCCACAGATACAGATCCAATCTTGACAAAAATAATGTCTCATTTGGTGGCATGGAGGGGTAGGGGAAGTGTGGGCAGCAACAGAACCTCTCTCATCCAAGCCTAGCCAAGCACTCAGCATAATTTTTCTGTGTTCAAACTGTAGATGAACCCAGTGACATTACCTATTCATTACTTCCATCCCCTATGGTATCAGACTGGGAGGAGAAAACATACCCTCTGTCTGTCCAGTAGAATCTGCGGCCAATCCAGTCCACAGCAAGACCTTCTGGTACATCTACTCCTTCCTCAATGAGCCTTTCTCGCTGGGACCCATCCATATTTGCTCTCTCTATCCACTTCAGGGCTGTGTGGGCAAAATATATCTACAAAGAAGACAGACATTTCTGATTGGTTCACAAAAATGAATGGAATATATACAAAGGGACTTGGTAAATCTTCAGCTCATCCAGTGTAACTGTTGAGCATGACCCTAGAGACATATGTCTTCAATTAAACCCCAGCTATGTTGCTTCCAGATGAGTTTAACCTTAAGTAAGTTACTCACTGTCTCAGACTCTTAGTTTTCTCATTGGTAAAAATGAGGATAATATATCAGGGCTCATATATATATATATATATATATTCCATAACATATCCATAGTCCCTGGCATGTACTTCTACTCATCAATTATTAATCTCTGATCTTTGGCCTATGATATAGATTTTGTACTTGAATCCTAGTGGCTTTCATAGTTAAATGGGAGAAATGACTTGCAATTTAATAAGAGTTGCAGACTGTGCTATATCTTCCACTGCTCAGTCCATTAATACACCACTGCAGAACAAGGCAGAAGGAATGGGCTTCTCTCCTAGTTTTGCTTCTTATTTGCCTGACTCTTGCCAAGTCACTTAGCCTCCATTTCTCAGCTACAGAAACAAAGTTATCAGGTTTTCAGATGTAAGAATTTAGGAAAGTGTTAAAAAATATAGAGTCAGATGTCAATTTTATGATAACATTTGTGGAATTTTAACTGTGAGTACATAAATATACATACAAAGGATGATCAAAAAATAGAGTGGGTAATCAAATTTTAAAATTTTAGTTTGGGCCGGGGATTTAGCTCAGCGGCAAAAGCACCTGCCTGGCAAGCGCAAGGTCATGAGTTCGGTTCCCGGTACCAGAGAAAAACCAAAAAAAAAAAAAATAAATAAAAATTTTAGTTTAAAAGACACACTGCCATGAATCTTCCTCAAAATACCCCCTCTCCATTTTGGACATACTCATCCCACACTTCTTGCCACTTTCTAAAGCAACTCTGCAAGTCCTCTTTTGTGAGTTTCTTTATAAGATATGATAAAAAATATAGTGAATGCTGCTGCCAAGTACCACCCAACAGAAAGGCAGGCTCATAAAAACATGACGCTGTGTCCTTGTGCACCTTATTCATCAGATCTAGCACTGTGCAACTTCTGGCTCTTCTCAAAATCAAAATGACCAGGAGAAGTAAAGGTTTTGAATTGACTCAGGATGTGGAAGCAGCCATGACAGTGCAACTAAAGACATTTATGAAAGAAGACTTCCAGAACTGCTTCAGAAAGTGGCAGGAAGGGTGGTATAAGTGTGCTCAAAGTGAGGGGGGAATGTTCTAAGGGGTATTAATGGCAATGTGTCTTTTACTGTAATAAAGTTTTAAAAATTTGAACATATACTGTAGACTTTAATCAAACCTCATAAATCTGTAATTGAGAGTATTCATAAAATAGTAGCTCATTAAATAATGGGCTCCTCTTTCTAGATAAAGAGAAAAGTTATATTTCATAAATACAAATACGGGTACTTCTCTTACGAAAATAGTCCATAGGGCTGTGGTTCTGAAACTCTAACGTGCATGTGAACCCCTTGGGAACCTTGCTGAGATGCAGATCCGCTGCAGTGGCCAGGCTGGAGCCTGGGAGTCTGCAGTTCTAAAAGGCTCCTGGCTATGTTGCTGTTGCTGGGCCAAAGACCACAGTTTGAGTAACAAGCAAATGAGAACATTAATTAGAGAAATGAAAAACAGCCATTCAATTTAAAGTTCATCCTAGGTCTCTATTTGCCTAGTTGTGGAAATACTGACTATACAGGAAAAAAAATTAGCAACAAATGAATCTTGAATTGTCAATTGTTAATGTAATTGTTCTATGAAGCCATATAGAGTCAGTTCGGGGAAAAGAGAGTCATTGTTAGTGTTCAACTATAAATCTTTTATTTGCAAGAATAATCATGTGCAGCTATGATTCCATAGCTATTAAATACAATTAATTTGCTTTATTCTGTCTCTTTTGGCCACTTACCAGACTGCTTCAAATCAGGAAAAACCAAAAACACCAAATCTAAAATTCTACACATCAATAAAGCATCTGGAGTAACGCAATAATTACAGAAGGGACTCATAACTACGTAAATTACCATTACACATGATTAATCTCTAAAAGAAACTCTAACATTATTCCTAGCATCTTTACCTAGCATAAATACAACTATAAAATGAAAGGCCAACTGGTCAGCTGCTTGGGTCAGTAACATAGAAATTCTAAGTTATGTTTTAAAACATCACATAAAATTATTCTGTAAAAAATGTTACAACATAGACTGCCACTCCCAGATGAATTATAAAATTTATACTTATTGATTTTCATGGTTAAGAGGTCATTGAGTTCCCTCTCTAAATGACATAAATTAAAAGCAAATTATTAACTCATACTCCATATGCCCCAAACCCAGCCTCTCTCTCCTTTCATTACTAACAAATCATCAAAACCAACTTATGAAGTTCCAGTCTCCCATTCTCATCACCAAAGAAGAAATTAAACTGAGGATCCTCCATAATCATTCCCAATTGAAAGAGTGATCACAGCAGGACCAAGGGAATGTTCCGAGAACAGAGAAGTTCTTGAAATGTTTCAAATGATGCTCTAGTGCCTATATGACCTTGTTCTGGATCTAATCATTCTGGGCTTAGCAGAGGATTTTCAAGTAGCTCAGGTCACCTGTTAGGATAAAATCCTCTGTTCTGTCCTTGCAGCACACCCACATCTGTTCAGGCCATAGAACCTTACCTTATTTTCCACTGGATCATAATCTAGTGCAAAAACCATTCCCATCTGCTGACTGAGCAGGATTCCATAATCCGTCCCATCAAAGTGCATGTGTCGAATATCTTGAGAATTGGCAAAGAGCAAAAGCGGTTGTGGTCCTGTTAACCAAATTTCAAAGAGAGCAATGTTTAAAACACACCTTCGAACCCAAGAAACACTCCAGCCCATCCCTTTCATTACAGCTTCTTTAATTTCTACAGTGCTACTTTTCTTAATTTTTTCCCAGTATAGTGTAGGCAAAGACAGGCAAGAAGACTTCCTCTTTCATGAGGTAACACATGACCAGAATTTCATCATTAGATTTACCTCTCTCTAGGTGTCTGCTTTTCAAATACAAATTACTTATACAAAGGGCTACATGAAATAGTCGAAACCACAGCCAAATGATGTAGGTCTTGAGCCTGTGGCCTCCCTGGTTCACACATACTGAATTCATGTCTGAAGAAACAGCCTCCATGACCTGGGCTCTCTGAGAAGGAGGCAGGATTACTGAGTTTATAATAAGAGCACTGGTTGCCTTCAGGACTCAGATATGCTATGAACTCAACCTTCAAAAATTAAGACTATTGGGGTCTAAGGAAAGCTACCCATGATAATTTGTGGTCCCAGTTTCTCAGCATAATGAAACTTCAAGGGAGATTGAATCCATTTGGTATAAATCTAAGATTTCCAAGACTATTGAAAAATAGCTGAAGCATACAACATCATATTAAATTTTGACATAAAAAGGACAGAACTTGTCAATTCACTGAAGAGATAAAAATCAAGTCAATCAACACATATTTATTAAATACCTCTTAACTATAGTTTTAAAACCATTCTGGCCATAGTTTTCTCATCTACTGAGAATACCATACTTGACATTAACATTATGGCAAACCTTTTGTGGATGCTAGTTAACCTAGAAACATTCCTCAAAACTATGGTTTTTACTGATGTTGTAATAACTCATATTATTCATATTCACTGGGCATATTTACCATTTCTGAAAATAAAAGAATCAGACTTTCTACCAAGAAGCAAAAGCAATTCAACTTGACATCATTCTAAATGAAATATTGCTTTCAAGTAATTTTTCTTTTCTCTTTTTTTGAAGGGAAGTATTCCAGACAACTGTGTCACTGACCTGAAGCTGCACAGCTTTTCTGGTCCAGTTGTAGGTCATACCCAGGAAAGCAACCACACTCCCAGGACACCGGGCTGAGTGTAATGCAGAGCTGGCTACAGCCACCGTTATCAGGTGACGAACAGCCTAGAGAAAGCAGATGTTTGGTAAGGAGCTTCTGTCATTCAAAATGTAAAAATTTTCCATGGAAGTGTTATGGTGGACCAACTATACATTGAATTTTAAAACCACCCCCACAATCATTCTTACTGCTGCAATTGAGTTGATTTTTTCAGAGATTAGAGCAAAATATCACAATGCCTCTTTCGCTATAAGCCAAAAATCTTGGATGTTAATCCTTTACATTCCACTGAGCTCAAGAACAAGTACCCTGGCAGCTGGCTGGAGAAACACATTTTGATGAGTTTAGCAGCTGTTTTAACTCTTCCTCATGAGTGATATATGTTTTTCTCTCTCACACTTAATAGCCCCTTGACTTCTTTGTTCATTTTCTTTTTTAAAGATCTTAATTGGCTTTATTTTGACTCTAGATTTGGGCAACACTTCATTCCATAAATAAATTAAGCTGTTCCTTTTTTTTCACTTTTTCAAAATTAGAAAATCAAAAAGCCACTCAAAATTCTTCTGCTAATTTTGAGTTACATCTGGATTTATGTATGCCCAAGTCACCATGAAGACAAAGTAGGTCTTTATTGGGTGCAAGCAACAGGCTAAACTCTGCATCTGCTGTCTCATTCAACCCAGGAGGAAGGGTCAACACCTCTACAGATGAGGAAACAGACTAAGACGGGCCCAGTACCCAATCTAAATCACTCTGCTAGTAACTGGTATGCTACTGAAAGCCCTCAAAATTTATTGAATAAATTAACTTTTAATGTGTGACACTAGAAACTAGTCTTCACTGGCAATAAGATCAACTTTTAGATGTCACTTAGAAAACATACGTTTTCAAACTAACAAAAGGCAAATAAACTCACCACTACATGTTTTTCCATCTGTCTCAAGCACGGAGCCTTCAGGACAGAAACACAGGGGACCATCTGACGTCAGAACACAGTCATGGCTGCACTCAGATACATTGCCTGGACAGGAAACTAATTCTGACAAAGTTAAGATTCGTGTTAAGTCAGGTTGGTGGAAATTTACTACAATCAGTTGCTAATAAAAAGTTGAAAGAGGTTAAAGATCAAATATTTATAGAAAGCTGTGGTAATAGAGATACAAAAGTGAAGAAACATTCAAATCTAAGAACATTAAAGAGCCCTGATTTTGAAAATGTCTCTAGTTTCTCCTGAGCTTCCTTTATTTCAAATACAATATTTAATGAAAATTATCATCAAAATTTCAAAATATTTTCAATGGAACTTAAGCAAATGATTAAGTACATCTGTAGAACAAAACACATTTGTTTAAAAAAAAACTAAGGGCACTCTGTTTGTGGTTAGATGTAGGAAGAGAAATGTAACACGTAGGAGAGATACAGTATAAATTCTCATAACTTCATGATAACATGCAATAATTAAAATAGGGGATGGATGCTGGAATAGACAGAAGATAACAGAACAAGATAGAAAGCTCAGACTAGAAAAAACTTAAATATGCATAAGAATGTACACGTAAGGTGTTATTTTAAATAGGCGAGCATGTGACAGATCATCTAAAAGTGGTACAGAAATAATCAAATAATGATTTCAGAAAAAATTAAATCCCTAATCTATACCATACATCAAAATTAATCCCAGGTAAATCAAAGATGCAAATGTAAAATATGTGTCATAAAAGTCTGGAGGTTTTGAGAATCAAGTGAGACTATGTGTGTCAGGCTTGGCACATTTCTACCCTGCACCCCACACAGCATATTAACCAAGAGGCAAACACACGGGATTAGGAGAGGGCAAGTTTCATAGTCAGACACAAGAGCAGTGGGTTATTTCCAAGAAATTTATTATTCATTCATTTCAACGTGCCTGATTTGTTTCAGAAGCATGGATAATATCTAAATTGACTTATTCCCCATCCTCTTTAAAGTGGGGCTAAATAACAAACATAATTTTAAACATTCAATTATACTCATCCATTCAATAAGATAGCTATCAGGAGGTAATCTGAATATATAATCCTAAATTTGCCCTGGGAACAGTCATACAAATTCGTAATGTATTTGTAATGCTAGTGTTGATGCCCCCCGAGGCTGGAAATAATGCCTAATGCAGTTGCAGATTATGTCCTCTAGATGCAACTTATTGTTAAAAGAAAGCAGTGCTCCTTGAGAAACTGCTGGTTTCAGATCTAGAATATAACATGAACACACTGAGTGTGCAAAGTATGTCCTACCAGGTAACAAGAAAAGTGTTGAAGAGATTACCATTTGAAATTCTTGAATGACTGTTAGAAAATTTTATAAAGCATGAATGAACACACTGATCAAGTTGATCTTGGTCAAAGAAAAAAACACAAGACATTGTACAAACACATCTATGAAGTATTCTTGACAAAAAAAATGTCAAAGCTAAATCTGATCAAGCTTGCAGATACAACTTACAAGCTTTCAGAAAAGACAGAGACATGACAGAGGTGTGACTAGCACAGAAACTGAAAAACTCTGCAGAGAAAAAAAAAAGTTAATTCAACAAATATTTGCCCAAGGGGAAAAAAGAGGAAAGAGAATCTGTAGAATAAAAGATTCATAAAGTTAACACAGAGAGCTTATTTGAACACTTATCAAATCAACTATTTAAAAAACTTAAGAGAAATTTGAAAACTGACTAGATGATGTGATTAAGAAATTATTATTAACTTTTGAGATATGATAATAGCAGTGTGACTGCACCTAAAAATTGGGTATTAAGGGATAGTAGAAAATTATACTTTGATTTTTTTTTTTTTGTCTTTTTGAGGCAGGGTCTCAATATGAAGTTCAAGTTGGCCTTGAGCTCACTTTGTAGCCCAGGCTGATCTTAAACATGCAACAATCCTCCTGCCTCAACTTCCCAAGTGCTGGGATTACAGGTGTGTGCCACCATACCGATCAGATTTTTTGATATAATAATGTATTATGGCTGTTGTTTTACATGTTTACCTTTTAGAGATACACAATGAAACATAAGGTCATATGAATACAGAAATGGGGACTATACACATTTGTATACTTCACAAAATATATATACACACTTCAGAAAAGAAAAACTTGTGTAAATATTTTAATACTAAATTTATCGAGACATCATAAGATTAATACAAGTTAATAAGGGCCTCTACAGTTACAAGAGGTGCTCAAAGTGGTGGTCATTAGCTTCTAGATATTTATTATTTTTCTTTTCCTGAAGTGTGTATAGATTTTTGGGGTGGATTCTGTACATATTTCCTAAGGGTGGAGGTTTTTTAATGGGTCTATAGTGCAGCCCAGTTACCCATATTTTTAAAAGCAAACAAAAAATAAAAGTCCAAGGTAATTCTGATGCACACTTCTTACTGCAGACCACCAACCTAGATTACAGTCATCTGGAAAAATAAAGAAAAATAATACAGTAAATACTTGTTGCTGCGACTTACCATGACATCGTTTCCCATCAGGAAGCAAAATGAATCCTGCAGGGCATGTGCAATAATACGATCCAGGGATGTTTTCACACCCAAGAGTACAGCCATGGTTCCAAAAGGCACATTCGTTGACATCTGCATAATGACAACAGCAAAGCATAGCCAGATGGTTGTTTTTCAAAATAAATTGTGATCTCACTAATTATCCTGGAGAGGGTACCTCATGTTAGTATAAGCTGTAACTGACCATGGGAAGGCTGTATTTCCAATTTTCAGAAAGAGGGGGAAATGTTCAATGTTCATAAAAGCTGTTTCTATTCTGCCACAGTTTACACAGTATGTTCACAGTTTTGCACACTAGAATTGTCCTTTGACTATAGGTATATTCATTGGAGGGCGACAGCATGCCGTTTAAGTTAGTAACTATTGGAAGTTCTTACCCAATTTGGGCCATTTCCTGTCCGCTTGACCCTTCTCAAGACCAACTGAAGACCTGCCCCGAGATGTGGGCACATTGCCAAGCAGCTTGGTCAGTCTTTGCCCAGTGGTCTCACCTAAGCAAGGGTCCATCATTAACAGACAGATGCTACATTAACCTGAGGACTCACCTTAACTAGTGCAGGCCCTAGCTTCTTCTTCAACAGTAAATCACTGTTATCTTCTTCGTGAAAGGGTGCAGTATTTCTCCCTGTCTCATTAAATTGGGCCTGAAATCGCAAAACAGGAGCCCTAGAGAGCCAGCCTGCTTCACAGTCTCTGGGAATCTAATAGTAGCTATGTGAACTCGCTCTCCTAAAAACTTGTCCATCCTGAAATTTTGCAAAGTCAAACAGAAAGAAATTCATACAGTTCCCTCAGAGCATCCCAGCCTATAAATATCACCTCCTGAGCAGCCTCTTGAGTGTTTGATCTAGGAACACAAGTCACAAAAAGGCCTGAAAGAATTATAAAGGTTTTTAAAAACATAAGGAAAATAATTGTTCTCCTGGGAAAGAACAGTGATTGGGATTGAGTCTGGTTTCCTTTTGGGAGCTGAATGGCGCTGGGTGGCGCTGGACAGCGCTGGACCGCCCGGAAGCCCAGCCTCCAGGAACGCGCTCTCCTCTCCGCTGCAGCTACACGCGTTACCTTCGCAGGACTTCCGGTCTCGGCTCAGCACGTAGCCCTCCGCGCATGCGCATGACTCAGACTTCGGGTCTCGCCGGCACTGGCGGCTTTCACAGGATCTTCTTTTCAGCTTGCAAAGTCCCCGCTCTAGAACAGAAGGGATTTATTTGGAGTGGTGATATAGTTTGACAGAGGAAAATGGTGATCCTGATGTCGGATCCCCAGGGTCTCCAAGCCCATCCACCTGTCATCTGCAGAGTGCCCAGGACCCCGCTTGCCAGGGAGTCGGAGGTGGCATTGCTTAGGGGTCGCACGTCAGTACCACTTACCAGCTGCTTCATTCTGATATGTATTATATGTATAATATATATATTTAATATGTATAATATTTTAAAATTCTGAAAATGAATTGCCTAGGAATTTTTTTAAACTTCAAAGAGCATCTTGAGTACAATAGGTCGTCAGATCTATCTGATATAATCATTTAAAGGACATCATTTACACTCAACATATATATTTCTGTCTTGTCCACAGATTTCTGAAATATGGGGATATGGGTTATGAAATATCCCAGGGAAGTAACGTTTGCTCAGGGAAATTGGTGATTGGGTTGAATTACCTACAAGTGGGTTGAGTTAGGTAAATTGGGTGATTGAGTAATAATTATAGTAACTATAAGGGGGCACTTGGGTTACTTTATATTGAACAACAAATGAGTAATGTGGTACCCTCTTTTCCTTAGAGCCAAAATCTAGGGCTAAACTAGTAAACTAGCAAATATGCATTACTCTTTCCAGAAAGTTAACAAGCTTTTTGTCTCATCTGCTCCTTCATATTATTTGCCAATTATAACGATGAGGTCTGTGTACAGTGCTATGGAAAATACAGAGGTAAGCTCCTCTCTGACAGAACATGCATAGAATGCAGGTGGATATGGAGGCCAGAGATTTGGCGACAGGCAAAGGCTGAGGAAGAAGAAGGCTGGGGTACAGAGCCTGAAGTCAGGCATGGCTAAGATCCATGAGAGTCTGTGTATAAAGAGCAGTGCCCAGCAGCAGCACTGTGGTGGAAAATGGGAAAAGAATCAGCAAATGTCTTTCTCTCATTTCTTATAGAGATGTCTCCTCCAGCTGACTTTACCTATTTCCTTCCATTTTTACATACTGTCAAAAGACAAAATTTCAGCACACGTAGTTCAGTGCCCTCCTTTGGCTTCTATTTGCCATCCACAAATCAAGCAGTGTTTCACCTATAAATAGAGAGGTGCTATGCTGGCCATAGAACAGTGTGTTTCTATAAAGTAGCTTGACCAGGAACAAAGAAGCAGCATAATACAAAAAATGAATTGGTTCCCATCAGGTTACTTTCCTCATAAGGGATAAAGCAGGGAGGACTTCCTTACAGTCGGGGGGGAGAGGGTACTGCCCTCTTTGTGGATTTGGCTATCTTTTGTGTCCTGATTCCTCCAAATGAATCAACTTAGTTGAGGACTGGGGATGTGGAACTTCAGCATCAATGACTCCATAATAGTTTAGTTTGTTGGGGCCTAGTGTGGGGACCCAGGCTAAGTCAATGGCCTCTCATAAATTTGATTTTACATCACGAAGCACTTTCACATTAGAAATGATGTGTTTATTTTTATACTTTAAAAAAAACAATAAAACAAAAATACAAAAACCATAGGCACATCAGAATTTGTGACGGTAGGTGACATGATATATAGTGATGTATATAGACACACCCACTAATTCATAAAGGAAACCACCTGTAGGAAAATTCTGGGCATAAACAGATTCATGATGAAATACAAATGAGGGCTTTGCTTACATGCCTAGGTAATATTCATGACATTACCATTACTCTGCTATATCCCATTTGCAAAAATCAGTAAAGTAGGCTTCAAAATACGATCCTTGTTTTAGCAGGGCATTTCTTGGTAATGGTCCTGCTTCCTTAAGAACACCTATTTTACTGATGTATTTTGTGAAGTATTCTTTTTTTTGTTTTTTTTTTTTTTTCCGGTACCAGGAATCGAACTCACAACCTTCCACTTGCCAGGCAGGCGCTGTGCCTCTGAGCTAAATTCCCAGTCCCATTGTGAAGTATTCTTGAACCTGATGAATACAAGCTTCTATGACACAGGGAATGTGATACACATCCCCTGTGACACAGGGAATGTGATAATACAAAGTATATCCAATAGTATAAAATATATCCAATAAAGTGTGATCAATAGTATAAAGTAATGTGATAGTATATAGATGTAAACATTTTGCAGCAAATTCGAATCCCAGATCTGAAAACAAAATAAGCCAGGAGTGGTTATAGACTAAACACTTCCTTACCAATAACTGCTGTATTCCGTAGAAACATGTTTTTGCCTTATTGAAAATACCTCTAGTATATATGTCTCAGTAACTTTTTTCATCCCTAAGACACAGTAGCCATCCTTCACAAATTCAAGGAGGAAAAGTTTATTTTGATTCTTGTTTCAGTCTGTAGTCAGGGGCTCACAGGCAGGACAATGTGGCACAGGGCCTGGAAGAGGAGAGCTCCTCATAGCAGACAGGAATCAGGGGGTGAAAGGAGGAGCTGGGAAGGGAGATGTACCTGCAGTGACCCTACACTTCATCTTACCGGACCCTGCCTCCTGACAGTAAGTCAGATATAAGTCCCATAACCCAGTCACCTTCCAAAGCCCCTTCCTATGATAACATGAGGCTTTGGAGGACATTATAGATCTAAATCATAACAGTATGTCAACACCCAGAGAGCATGTTCCCAAGATGCTGACTTGGCAACTTAGGGAAAGACTCAGAAATCAGCTATTTTACAGATTTCTGAAGTGGTACTGATGCTGGGAGACTTCAAATTACACTTTGAGAAAGACTGGCTAAAGAGACCGTTCACTTTCATGTAGCCAGAAGTAGCTACTTTTAGCTCATCTGTGTTATTTCCTTAGTTACTTTGAACTTGTTTCTTCAGGTCTCTAGACAGAATTAAATGCAAAATCAATCTTGCCACCTCTCAATACAAAGTCAGTATTTCCCAATGAATCTCTTAAGATTTACATTGAATCTTTTGGATATTGATTTTAAAAAATGTATTCCTAGTCTATTCTAATTATGCATGTATAGGTTACATGATTTTCATGTTTCTGCATGCTTCACTTAAACTATCAAACTCTTATTCTATCCTGTTCTGTTATGTTCTGTTCTGTTCTGTTCCATTCCATTCCATCCATTCTGTTTCATCCCATCCCATTCTACTCCATTCTATATTTTTACAGTGCTGTGAATTGAACCCAGGGCCTCGTGCATACTAGGTAGGCACTATATCACCAAACTACATATGCAACTCCCAAATTTTATTTAGGCAAAATTAACAATGAAATAGCTCAAATTTAAAATTGAATGACTAAAATTAGAAACTTTTAAATTTATTGGTGACAAAATGCATTTACTTCAAATTATTTTTTAAAAAGCTTGTAATATTTTTAACTTTAATTTTTTTGGTTTTGTTTTTTTTTTAGCTTTGCAAATGACAGCCACAACAGAAATCTGAATTGTCTGTTATTGGCCTCTTCATAGAACCAAAATTCTACCACTTTTTCAGGTAACGAAAAACAGAGATTTTGCTCCCTATAAATATCCTTTACAAAAAAAATCTTTCCAATCCCAGCATGATAGATAATTCACCAGGATTAAGAATATTAAGTTTTGTATTGGTTCTCCCTTTTGTAACAAATTATTTTATCTCTTTGACCTTAATTTTCCTAATGCATGAAATGAAAGTGAGGAAGTAGATATTCTGATATCCCTCCCTTTTTAAAAAGTCCTAGGATTCCAAACAAAGTTAAATGTTTGGCATAAATTCCTCTAAATCCATCCCTCTGAAGATTCCAAAACCTTAATTAGGGCACATAATACGATATCAGGAAATAAAATTGAGTAGTAAAGAAAACAGTTTCTAGAATATAGAGAATGCCCTTGATCTTCCTGTTTATCCTGTTGTTTCTATCTCTGTCTACTACCTCTCACCTGGGCTTATGTGTGTTCTGATCATCCTCATTCTCATCCTCACTATTATCTCCAGCATCAGCATATAACATGTACATTTTCCCATTAAGTGATAAGCTTAATTGATATGGCACGTACTCTATTTTTAGCTTCAATATCCCCTGACATGGTGCCTTTCATGTCACAAGTGTCCACCAGATGCCTGGAATGTATGCAGAAAAAAAACCTGTGATCATGCCACCTGCACCCTTATTTGGTTTCTCCTTGAATTTCAAGTCAACCTTAGAGATTCAGTACGAACAGATCATCAGGTGGTGCTAGCCTAGAACTCTGTCCACTCTATCATCCTGCTGATGGTCTTAATGATACTTAATGATACACATCACTTCCCAGTTATGAATAAAAGCAGTAAATAATCACCCTTCTCCTCTGCATGATGGTGCTGATAGTGTGACCTGAATTCAGATGCTAAAGGCTTTAAAGGTCATTTGAGGAAATGGCAAAACATAGGATTGAGGGTTATAGTTTTGTTTAATCTTCTTAATCTTCTGCAGTTCTTTAGCTTCAAAATAGGCCAAAGCTAATGCTCAAAGTGCTGCTGCTGACCTCGGATAACACCCCTCCTCGGAGCCTGGCACAGGGGCTTAATTACCTTTGCGATCAATTAAAGCTCCTAATCATGGAGTTTACTGCCCACAGTGACTGTGCTTTCAGGCTCTGCCTGAGGAACTCACAGGCACTCATGAGCCTCCCTGCAGCTAAGGAGGTCTACAGCTGCAAATAAACATGTGGCATCCCCAATATTCAGCAAAAACAGTAAAAATTTGAGTAACGCTCTCCAAAGCATTTACATTATCAGATTTAGTTTTCATTACAAGCCCTTGAGCTATGCAGACCAAGTATTCTTTTTCATTTTACAGATTAGGAAGTTGTGTCTTACTGAGGATCACACGGCCTAGAAGGGGTAAAACTGGAACTCAATCCCAGCCTTCTGATCATGGCTCCATCTCCTTACCATGTATGTCTTTGTGGAAATGTGTGGGTGTATATATTCTTATGTGTATATATTTAAGTGTGATATATTTTTATATGCACATACAAATATTGTGGTGGGTTTTAAAGATTTCT